CAATCGCATCACGAAACACATCGTTCATCGCCCTCTGGAAAGAGGCCGGAGCGTTGGTCAAGCCAAAACTTAACACACGCCACTGAAAATGGCCGAACGGCGAACGGAAAGCCGTCTTTGGAACATCGTCCTCTGTTATACGTAGTTGGTGATAGCCTTGCGCCAAATCCAATGCACTGAACCATTGCGCACCCTGTAGTCGATCAAATAAATCTTCTATCCGCGGAAGTGGATATCTGTTTTTGATCGTAATTTTATTCAGGGCTCGATAATCGACGCACATGCGCAGTCCGCCCCCTTTCTTGTGAACGAACAAGATAGGTGCTCCGTATGGGGACGCGCTAGGTTCTATCCATCCCTTCCTGAGGTATTCCTCAATCTGTTGTTTAGCCTCCTCGTACTCAGCTGGACTGAGGCGATACAGAGGTCTAAATGGTGGTGCCTTTCCTGGTTCCACCGGGATGGTATGGCCGACTGCACGGTCGGGAGGTAACCCGTCCGGAATTGGCTCAAAAACCTCAGAATATTCCTCTGCCAACGCCTTCATTTGAGGTGGGAAATCTTCAATAATCTGTGAAGTAGTTGGTTCGGAGTCTAGCTGTACAACAAAAAGTGTATCAGCTACCTTGACATGCTCTTTGAATTGGAGAGCCGACGCAAAGCGTACGTCAAGAGCTAATGTTTGAGGTTTGTCGTCCAGTGCTTGGCGCTTTGGGACTTGCCATTGAAACGTCGTCCCATTCTTTGTGAAGGAAAGCGTGTTATCTTGGAAATTTAAGATCACCTCATTAGGCCGCAGCCAATCCATTCCCAAGACAATGTCTACGCCTGCTATGAGGGGTAAGACAAAAACGTTAATAGTCTCCTGATATCCTTGGATATCTAGGTTGACCAAGGCATGTCCTCTGCATGGGATGACCCTGTCATCTCCCAGACGGATAGAGCACGATGGTCCTTGAACAGGCACATTCAAATACCCCATCCATTTCTCATCGATCAATGACGCAGTCGCTCCTGTATCAACCAGGATCGAGGCACTGCGCCCGTTTACACGACCAGAAAACAAAAGATTTTGCTGATGTTTAGGTCGAATAGGACATGCCGTGATGTCAGTGGGAGGCAAATAATATGCCTTAATGCCGTGCTTGCTGCGTCCAAAAGAACGAGCTTGTGTCCACCACACATGGTGTCCTTTATCCCACTGCGCTAACACGCTCCATCCTTGAAGTGCTCGAAACAATTTACCTCGAACTGTGCGCGTTACCATTCCAACCGCAGTTAGAGGGTGCGCTTGGGTGCAACGACCCACGACGTCCATTATCCAAGGCAAATTATGGTGATCACAAAATATAAATGAGAATTTATCTCTTAGTGATTCAACTGTGATATTTTCCAGTGGGTGAAATCGAGAGGCAAATAAAGAGCTTTCATTAAAAGAAAATGCATACACACATGCAATTTTGCAATCAACAAGGCACTCGAGTTTCAACAACTCCTCATCCCGCAGGACCACTGCCTCATCCTCTCGATCTGCTATGCCCGCTAGGTACCCACCCCCTAGTTGGGCTTTGCAAAATCCCGCTGGCTGCCCGAGGGACCACTGCCGTCATTGCGCTTGTTGTCCGTCTTAGCCTTGCCAGAGTACTTCACCGCCTTGCGGTGGCGGCACTCATAGCCCTTGTGTCCAGGCTTGCCGCACTTGAAGCAGCTCTGGACATTGCTTGGTCCACCCTCGTTGACCTTCTTGGCCTTATGGTCAGCCTGCTGCCCCTGCTGGAAGGGCCTCTTGTGGTTCCCGCCCTTCCAAGGCGTCCCCTGCTGCCTTCCGCTAGGACCCGCAGTGCTAGACGACGGCCTTGAAGTCTGCTGCGGCTGGGTAGTGGTTTTGGCATAAGCACGGAAATGCTTATCAGTGGTCCCCACCACGCGCTTCACGTGATCATAGGACCGCCATGCCTCCCCAGCCCCATCCGTCATATGCATGTTCTTGAGGTGCTCAGGCAACCCCCTGAAGAACAGGTGGATCTTTTCGCCTTCGCTCATACGTTCCGCCGGTTTCTGGAGCACCCAGATCTCCTCGAACTCCACGGCGTACTGCTGCACTGTGCGGTTCCCGCACTGCAGCTTCTCAAGGCGACTGCGCACCTCCAGCTGGGTCGGCTGGACCTGAAAAGCTTGCTTGAGCGCAGAGGCAAATTCCTCCCACCCAAACGGCTTCCTATCCGCCTCAGCCTGGATCTTGCTGCCATACACCACTCGCTGTGCATTCTGGTCCAGCACGGTGGTGGCAGCGACGACGCGAGCGTCGTCTTGGACCTTGTGCGCCTTGAACAGGTCGGTCATCATCGACAGCCACGCAGCCACGTCCGTCTTGCCATGGATGAATGGCGGCAGGGTGATTGGCAGAGAGCCAAAGGCCTGCGTGCTCGGCTCAGCAGCGCGCTGCGTAGAAGGACCGGGGTCACCCACTGCACCACCAGAGCGAGAAGGGTTGGTGCGACCGCTAGCAGAGTTGGCAGGCGGTTCCGCTCGTGGTGCAGGGCGATACATGGTCTCCCTTCGGAGGGCACTGAACGCCTCGCGCAGCTCGTTGATCTTTGAGGTCTGCCTCGCCAGCTGATGAACGTGCTCCCGGGCGTCGTGCTTCATGTTCTTGAGCTCAACTTCCAGGTACTTGATTTTGTTGTCCTGGTCAGAGAGATCCCTCTTGAGGTTGGTGATGAGTGACTGCTGCTGCTGGATGCGCGTATCCTGCTCAGCAGCATGGTCCTGCAGCTTAGCAATTTCAGCATGCAAAATGTCCTCTTCGCCCTCCAGCTCAATGTCATCCCCCTGAGACTCCCTTTCCTGTTCCTTGGAATTTTCAGCAGCTGCAGGGTCCTTAGCAGAGGAGTTTTCAGCAGGTTCCTTGTCAGCCATTTCCTCATCCATGTTGTTCAGATCAATCTTCTGCACACAAGCTTCCAGTTCAGCCTGGGAGTTGTTCCCTTCAACACCTCCAGCATTGGAGTTGGTAGAAGCCATTGAGAGTCAAGTCACTGTATTATAAAAATGAGTTACAGATCTACTGCAAATTGTTATCACCGCAGTGAATAACCAAGATTTTCTCCAAAGGAGAAATTTCTTCAATAGATCTTACAACTACTGCAATGTGAAAAACACCTCTGTTGCAAAATATCCTTACCACCGCAGTGGATAAGGCAAGAACAATCACAAAGTGATTGTCTTCAACAGAGAATGTTAATACACACAGGTCCTTCACAGTAGCTCCAATGGTTCCACCAGCAGGGAGGGAGGGAGGGCTGAGAACTCTTGGAGAAGCTTCAAAGTCTTGAAAACTTGAGCTTGAGCTTGTAGTCTTCAAAAACTTTATAATAGAGATTACAATACAATCACAACTTCTCCAAAAAAAAAAATCCACAAAATCCTCTTATATGCCCACAAGGCGAGGATCTACTAATAGCTCTGAATACCAATGTAACGGATCTATGAAGAAAAAGGGCATTTACCCACTTAATAATAGGTTCTAATACAACCAGAGAGTAGCAGCTCCTGGAAAATGACTAAGTCTGAGAGTTGCTAGGAGATGCAGTCACAAACTGTGGAAGGTGTGTTGAGAGAAAAGCAATCCTATTTCCCAATTGATTAGTTGGGAGTAGGAAATGGAGAATGAGCCAAGAGGCTTCAGACCCCTTCCCTAGACCCCCTTGGGGTGCAACCACCTTCCCCATGGCAAGGAGGGGTGCACTCCCTTGGGCCTTGCCCATGTGGCAAAGGTTACTCAATGACATGGCACAAACAAAGGGATAAAATGCTGTGTATGTAATATGTTATCCCTACCTGTCATGTTTCAACTGGTTGCAATTCCAACGCAAGAGTTGTGTTGGACTTCGAATGTTTGTGATTGGTTGTAACTCCAACCAGCGGCGGGAAACTTCTCGACTCACTTTGTATAAAAGTGTTCTGATTGGTTGGCTTGCCAACCAGTTCGTTTCCCCGCTTTCCAACCAGTTCATTTCCGTTTTCTCTTCCCAACCCAGGTTCAATGTATCGAGACCTTGGGTTGGTGGGATTGGATATGTTACAGTATCAGCCTTTATTCTACAACTCACCCGTGCGCGCACATGATGGCAAGCGCGAATTATCCTAGAAACGCGCGCTCGACCGCCTTTCATTACGGCACGCTGCGCGCTCAAGCTAGTAATACAGCCTTCCTCCTGCTGCTACTCCTCTATTGCTCACCAACGACGGCTTTCGGGGCCATATCGGGACAGCTTGTATCGAAACTGCATGCTGCTCGTCGCGGCCGAGGAGTCTCCGCGCGGACGGTTCTGCCTCCCGCGGCGCAACGGTTCGCCGCGCGGAGGGCGGAGGAGACATCCGCGGAGAAAGTATCACCCGCGGAAAGAGCATTTGCCGCGGAGCGCGCTGCGGCTTCGGTCGACAGCGGAACCAGCGGCAAAACCAGCTCTCCTTACAACCTGTCCTCGAGTTTAGGGTTGCGCGTATCCGCAGCCGCGCCGCAGGCTTCGGCGGCTAACACTGCGGCTCTTAAGGCGATCTTTACGGCCGTGCTGCTTCCCATCCCGGCGAACAAGCCGAACGCGTGCACGTGGCCCGGCGTGACTTGCGCCGCGAACGGCGCTGTTCTAGAACTAAGCCTCACGAGCGCCGTCAGCCGTCTTTTGCTCCCTCCAACGCCTCGCCTTTGCAACCGTACCGCGCGCGAACCCGGCGGGAAATTTCCCGCGACCCTCTCCGCGTCTATCGGCCAGTTAACTCGTCTCACGAATCTTTGTATGTCTAACCTCTGGCTTGCCGGTGCGGTCCCTAAATCGCTCTCCAAGCTTACAAAGCTCTACGCTCTTGATCTCCAGGATAATTGCTTTGCTGGTCCACTTCCCGTCGCCTTTTTTCGCCTGCCGAGGCTTTACGATCTGACCGCGGCGCGAAATTTCTTCTCCGGCGGGTTACCACAACGTCCTGCTGCGTACGCCGGGATGGTTACGCTAGGAGATCTGGATCTCGGGATTAATTGGCTGTCCGGGCCGATTCCTGCTGCCCTCGCGACGCTGCCAATGCTTCAGGGGTTACTCTTAAACACGAATCGATTATCTGGGGAAATTCCGCCTGCGCTGCTGAAAAAGGAACTGGTGGCACTTGTTTTAGATCGGAACCGGCTATCTGGCGATCTGAGCGGGCAGCAAATAAAAGCTGCTCTCATTGGCTTAAGCCGGAACAAGCTGACCGGCAACTTCAACAAGATCCGGTTCAACGATTTCCTGGACTTCATCGACGTTTCAGAGAATCTGTTTTCGGGCACCTTTCCTCAGATCCTGTGCCGTTCGGGCAACCTTGGTATCGCTTATTTTTCGCACAATCGCCTGACTGGAGCCGTTCCGGCGAATTGCTTCAAGACCGCGAATCCAATGCAGCTTGGCCTCTTCTTAAGCCACAACAATTTATCGGGTAGCTTACAGCCGTTTTCGAACCTGCCCAAGGACATTGTTGTGGTGGACCTGGGATTCAACAAATTTACAGGGAAAATTCCCCAAGCCCTCACCACTTTACCTAGGCTATACGACTTGGACCTAGGGGCAAACTCTCTGACAGGTAAGCTGAATGAAGGACAGCAGCAGCCTTTCAAAATGATATAAAAATTCATGTGAAACCAATACGTAAAGCTTCAACTTGTTACCTTACACTTTTTGCGTGTGTGCATTCTGCTAGGATCAACCACTGGGCACCACGCATCTGATTTCTTCTAATTAACTTGCTATTTATTCGTCCACGCTTCTTCTCCAAACTTTCTCTGCTTCAACTGCTCCATCATTCCTCCTATCTCCCCTCTCCCACCCCTCAGTCCCTAACCTTCCTCACCCTAAATCTTCCTTGTCATGGCTCTGCTTTACCCTCCACTATCTCTCCTCTCCCTGCTCCTCGCCCCATTCCCTACCAGGTCCCATTCCCACCTTCTGCCAGGCCCAGCAGCCCCTCACCTTCCTCAATCTCGCCTCCAACGCCCTCTCCGGCCCGCCCACCCCGCTCTCCTCCCCCTCTTGTTCCGCCTCCCTCGCCCTCCTCTACCTCTCCTCGAACCGCCTCTCCGGCCCCATCCCCGATACAATCAGCTCCTTTACCCGCCTCAAGCGCCTTCTCCTCGACAAGAACGCCCTTTCAGGATCAATCCCAGCTGGTGTGAGCAAACTGCAGCGATTACAGGGACTCGGGTTATCGTATAACAAGCTATCGGGAACAATTCCCGCGGTTTGGCCCGCAGGCGTACGAAACGTGCTGCTGGCGGGAAATCGGCTGTCAGGGGCTGTTCCGGCTGCTCTGAGCAAGCTGAAGCGAGGCTCGTTCAAACCAGGGAACCCCAACTTGTGTGGGAAACCGTTGCCTGACTGTGCATAGAGTCATTTCAATGGGACACTGGTGGGGAATCGGCGGTCAGGGGCTGTTCCAGCTGCTCTGAGCAAGATGAAGCAAGGCTTGTTCAAACCAGGGAACCCCAACCTGTGCAGGAAACCACTGCCTGCTTATGTTTAGATTAGAAACATCCCTGCTTGTTCATGTGATCACCCCAACTGATATGGTACATCTAATTAAATGTATATATTTTTGTCAGAATGAGGAATGGATGATGCATTGATGTTGGTTGGGGTACATATAGCTAACCCTAAGTTTTGTACCCCCTAAGACAAACCTCACTATAGGCTACAACATTTGACACACCCCCATAGCCTAAGTGAGGGGTGTCTAGCAGAACCAAACGAGTACGGTCACAAGACCAGTCCAAGAAACGAAGCTCAGGGTGGATCACAACGTCACCACACAGTCTGAGCACAAACAACAGTGGCCACAAGGCCAGTCCAAGAAGTAACAGAGGTATATAGAAAGCAAAGTAAACAGTACACTCAAGCCTAAGCAACACGAGAACCAGTGTCAACAAGGCCTAACTGCACACAGCACCTCTGGTGGTCACAAGGCGGAAGCGCCTTGGTGAAGATGTCTGCAGTGTTGGCCTCGGACTCCACAAACTCAAAGCGAGCCTGTCCACGCCTCTGCAACTCTCGCAGAAGAAAGTACCTGACGTGAATGTGCTTCACTCTGCTCTCCAGTCGTGGCTCTCGACAAAGGAGAATAGACGCCTTGTTGTCAGTGAACAAGGTCGGTGCAGAGCTCGGCCGCTCACCAAGGTCGGTGAGCAAGAAGGTCAACCAACGCAGCTCCTGTGCCGCCATGGCACCAGCGTAGATCTCAGCCTCAGCTGTAGAGGTCGAGACCGAAGAGGAGCGCGTGGACCGCCAGGAAACAGCTCCAGAACCCAGGCTGAAACAGTACCCCTGAGTAGACCTGTGAGTCTCAGCGTCGTCAGCGTAAGAGGAGTCACAGTGACCAGTAAGTACGACAGACTGCTGCCCTCCAAGAACTAGCCCCACGCCTGACGTCGACGCTAGGTACTTCGCCACCCTCACAGCTGCTGTCCAGTGAACAGGACGGTGTCTCCCTGGCGCAACAAAGCGCGCAAGAACGCTGAGAGGGAAGGCGAGGTCCGGGCGAGTACAAGTCATCAGGTACATGAGGCAACCCACAAGCTCTGCGTAGGGACCACTAGGCTCGAACGGCTCGTCAGGAAAGGGTCCAGTGAGTCTGTGGTCAACAGCAAGAGGTGTGCGCTGTACTGTGGAGTGCTGAAGCCCGAACCGCTGAAGGACCTGCTGCACCATGTGCGACTGTGAAAGTGTAATGGTGCGAGCAGCTCTGTCCCTGGTGATCTGCAGGCCAAGGTAGTGGCGCAGCTCACCAAGATCAGTGCAGGTGTGTCTCTTCTGCAGTTCGGACTTCACGTGTGCCAAAGCAACCCTGTCAGGGGTGGCGAAAACAAGGTCGTCAACGTAGACCAGAACAAAGAAAGGTGTGGGGCCACGACGAACGAACAGCGACGGGTCAGCAGAAGACGGCTGGAACCCAAGGTCAGACAGGGTAGAACGCAGGGTGTCGTGCCACTCACGAGGAGCCTGACGAAGACCGTAAACCGGTCGCCTCAGCCTCCACTGGGTCCCAGGAGGGAAAGAGCCAGTGAAGGCAGAGGGACGACGCAACCAGACCTCCTCGTGAAGACTGCCCTGAAGGAAAGCAGTAGAGAAGTCGAGAGAGTGTAACTCGTAGTCTCTCTGTGCTGCTACGTGTAGTAACACCCGAAGAGTGGTCATCTTCGGGGTGGGCGCGAAGGTCTGAAAGAAGTCAACTCCCTCGCGCTGACTGAAACCTCTAGCCACGTAGCGCGCCTTGAAGACCGGAGGAGATCCCGGTGGCCGCTTCACCCTGTAGATCCACATGCCGTCAACTACGTTCGCCCCCGGAGGGGGAACCTCATCGACGTAGGTGCCTGTGGATCTGTAGGAGGCCATCTCTGCGTCCATGGCAGCTCTCCACTGAGAGGCCCAAGGCCCTGACACTGCCTCAGCGTAAGTGCGAGGAGTCGGAATGTCAAGGGCGCGACGGGGGAAAAGGGCGCGACGTGACGGGGGGGAAAGGGCGCTAGGCGACGGGGGGAAGGGCGCTAGGCTCGGCACTAGGCGCGGTAACAACGGAACCGGTACGAACGAGAGGTAGGATCAGGCTCGGGAGATACGAACGGAGAACGGAGGAACGGGATCCCACAGGATCCTAACCTAACTGATACCATGTCAGAATGAGGAATGGATGATGCATTGATGTTGGTTGGGGTACATATAGCTAACCCTAAGTTTTGTACCCCCTAAGACAAACCTCACTATAGGCTACAACATTTGACAATTTTTTATTATTCATGAACCATGTTTGACTGGTCATGCTCAAAGCAAGCTGCAAAGGGGCTCCTTCAAACTAGGGGATTATCCGATTCTGGCAGTGGGAAGGGAAGCGCAGGATTGCTTGAGTCGACTCAAAAGCAGAACTAGAGTTCCATGTCTCCCAATCTGGTGTTTCATTGGTGGGAAGGAGCCTATAGTTCCATGTCTTCCAATTCTGGCAGCGGGAAGCGAAGAATTGCAGCGATCCCAGCAAGATTCACCAGCTCTGCTCAAAGCAGAAAGGAAGGCATACAACAAAGGCGACAGAAGAGAGAATGAGACGGAGACACGATGCATATCGGCAGAAGCACATGTTAGCTTGTAACATGTAGTATGCAGAATGTTGCAGGCAACATTTGAGCTCGTGGTGGGAACACATACACTCGCCAGAGACGTGCACTTGGCCGCCATTCGCTCTCACTACCATTGTGCCCGTCGCCAAATGCCGTACCGCATACGACGAGCACCACAGTCAAGGAGACATAAGCTTGGGTGCTAGAACGTACGTTCGCCAGAGACGTGCAGGGAGGAGAAGACGTGCACTTGCCCGCCATTCGCTCTCACTGATTCCACCAGATCCACGTAGCGTCTTCTAGTCTTCACGTCCGCATTGCTGTGGTAACAGGGGAGTAGGTTGGAGGGGGGGGAGGGGAAGGGGGGGGTTGTGGAGGAGATGGGGAGAAGACTTGCACTGGCCGCCATACGCTCTCAACAAATCCACCAAGTCCACCTAGCGCCGCCTCGTCTTCACATCCGCGTTGCTGAATCCAAAGAGTGGGCTGGTGATGGAGGGGATGTGGGGATACAAGGAAGGGAAGAGAAGGAGGGTGAAGGTGGGGGAGGGCAAGAGGCGGACGACGAGGGAGCGGGGCAAGAAAGGACCTCAGGAAAACAACAGAGACACACAAAACAGGAGCTTACGAAGCCATAATAAAAGCATCCACCAAGAAAAAGAGCTCCGGCAATGAGTCTAAAAGAAGGCAATGAGTCACCACCGAGTGCGTACCGGAACAAGTCATCTGAAATGAGGAGCATATGAATGGCAAGCCGCTCTTTCGCCGCCTCGTTTCACATGTGAGATTTTTTAAGAATCAAGCAGCAACCAAGCCAGGAATGAAAAAGGTGCCTACCGGAACAAGTCATCTGAAATGAGGAGCGTATGAATGGCAAGCCGTTCATTTGCTGCCTCCACATGCCCTGGTCCATAAAATGCCCGTGCGGAGTCCTGCCAAGGTGTCAGAGAGAGGGGGGAGAGTTGGAATTTAATGACCCACCATTGCATTGCATGCATACCACAACAAGTCAACAGGAGGTGAATATATTATGTCTGGGACTCATGCAGGAAAATATGGCCGCACTTACATTTGAAAGCATGGCATAGAAGTCCTCGAGTGCTTTAACCTGGCCAGAAGGTATGGGAGGAAGAAGGAACAGGGAGGGGGGTGATAGGAAACGAGAGTGAGAGGTTGCTCTAAGCCAGCCAGTACGGTCCTTGAAAAGATTCTTGAGACATCTAAAAAGAGGCTCGGAAGGAGGCTGGGATAAGTAGTTTTTGACTCCGCTGGTGAATTGCTGATGGTGATGGATTTTGAGGCGCCTCAAAGATTTGTGGCTGGACTGGAGGGATCATGGTTAATGGATCATAGTAGCTCATGGCTCATAACTAACACTGCCCTCACACTCACACTGACACTCACACTCACACATGAACACTTAATCACGAACTCATGCGCTCACTCACCCACTCACCTCCTTGGCTGCCTTGGTGTCTTTGATTTGAGTCATGATAGCAGGCAGCGCCAGCACCTCTTTCACTGCATGCCTGCCCAGCAGACAGTCACATCAAACAGGAGCAGACACAGGAGCATGCACGTAGTTATGCATGCTTCATCAGGGCTTGATTTGAGTCATGATAGCAGGCAGCGCCAGCACCTCCTTCACTGCATGCCTGCCCAGCAGACAGTCACATCAAACACAGGGGGGAGTGCATCAATGGGCACACCGGTTCATCAGGAGTTGGTAATCCCGTGCAGTGAACAAGGTGCTGCCTGGCTGTCTGTCTGTCCGTCTATCTGTCTGCCTGGCTGCCTGGCTGGCTGGGTTGAGAATTCTCAAAAGCAACTCAAATTTGTAGAAGTCATGATAGCTGGAAGGGTCAGCCAGTACGCCTCCTTCCCTGCACGCGTGAATCGGTCACAGTTGAGTCAACAAGAGGAGGCAGGCATTCGTGCATGCGTCCATCCTTCTTCTGTCATCCTTTTGAGAATTCTCAAAAAGCATTCGTGCATGCGTCCATCCTTCTTCTGTCATCCTTGATCGTACAAACTTGGTCGTCTCGGACCAACTCGCAGCTATCGTCTGTTTAAAATACACCATTCAGGTCAGGCCTACCACCCACTTGTATCCCGATAGATGTGAGGAGCCTCAAAAGTCGCCTTACAAGTCACCTCAAAAGCTAGGCTCAAGAGTCGTCACTTGCATCACGAGTGCATCCTCCACGATGTGTGAGGATGATCTGGCCTTGTGAAACCAACTAATCATAGTACACTCACATAGCCGCCCCTCCTCCTTTTGAGACGTCTCACAGGACGATCTGGACTTGTGAAACCAACTAATCATAGCTGCTGCTCGTGCACTCTACAAGCATGTAACACCCCACTCAGCTACATCCTCCATCACCACTCACTTGTATCCCGACGTGGAATGCGCCAGCACCATCTTGGCCTTGTTCTCAATGATGGCTGCTGCTCGTGCACTCTAGAAGCATGTAACACCCCACTCAGCTACATCCTCCATCACCACTCACTTGTATCCCGACGTGGAATGCGCAAGCACGATCTTGGCCTTGTTCTCAATGATGGCTGCTGCTCGTGCACTCTACAAGCATGTAACACCCCACTCAGCTACATCCTCCATCACCACTCACTTGTATCCCGACGTGGAATGCGCAAGCACGATCTTGGCCTTGTTCTCAATGATGGCTGCTGCTCGTGCACTCTACAAGCATGTAACACCCCACTCAGCTACATCCTCCATCACCACTCACTTGTATCCCGACGTGGAATGCGCAAGCACGATCTTGGCCTTGTTCTCAATGATGGCTGCTGCTCATGCACCACCACTCACTTGTATCCCGACGTGGAATGCGCAAGCACGATCTTGGCCTTGTTCTCAATGATGGCTCGGATGTTCTGCCGCGTTGCTTCCAGCATCATATACTCAAAGAACTGGTCCTGTGCTGTGCGGCAGGGATTGGAGGGAGGGGGTAAAAATAGATTGGGTATGAACTGGTCATATACTCAAAGAACTGGTCCTGTGCTGTCGTGAAGCGTCTGACATAGACCAAGCTCCCTTCAATCGTCATGTACTAACTGGTCCTGTTCATGGTGTAGCTGCCGCTAACAGAGGAGTATGCAATAACGAGGATGCGACGAACAGCAGAAGACGGACAGTACCTTGGTGAATCCAGGACTCGCTATAAGCAGACAGCGGATAATGTTGAAGTCAATGTGCCGTTGCACAGCCTGTGAGTGAGATGGACGGTGAGAGAAGGAAGGAGCAGGAGGGAAGGAAGCAGAGACGAAATGGCAAGAGAAGGAGGAGAGAGGAAAGAGATGAAAGGAAGAAGGAAAGAGGTTGAGAGCAAACAAGAAGGCACGAAAGGAAAGCCATCAGAAGATAAAAGTACAAACCATCTTGCATGCTAAAAGGCAATCTTTATTGTCTTTTACCTGAAAGACATTCTCAAAGAATTTATTGATTGCCTGCATGTGAGATGGGCGGGACGGGGGAGGGAAGACGAGAGGGTTCAAAGGGGTAAACATGGGTGAACTCGACCAGAAGTAGCCCTGCGCGCCACACGTCAATAGAAGGTGAGGGAATGACTGATTAGTTTTTAATTTCTTTCTTTCTTTTCTTTTTTGCTCACTCACTGATCGGCTACTAGCAGTCACCCACCCACCCACCCACCTACCCAAGTCTTCCAGCCACCAAATTAGGCTCATTATCGCACACCTTATCATATCCCGCAATGGACGGCCCTCGTTTTCTCTGGATTGCCGTCTCTACGCGCGCCTTCACTGTAGTCACACTGTTTACAAGGGAAAGCGAAAAGTGCAAGTGGGAATTTGACAGGTCATCTAAAGTAGTCACAGTTAACACACTGTCAGCTAGGAACGAAAAGTACAGCCGTGAAAGTACAGCCGTGAAAGTACAGCCGTGAAAGTACAGCTGTGAAAGTACAGTATGCCCTAAACTCAATTTCCCAAAATGCAGCCTCCTCCTTAACCCAACAACAAGGTGTTGCTCTTGAGACTTCTCAAAACAACCCCACAACAAGGATCCAGACCTTCACATCTCAGTCTTCAGAACATACTTTGGCAAAAACAGAAATACCAGCCACGTCAGTTCTTTCTCACGGTGTCTCAACACCTGAGTCACACCTCCCCCACGTCTCACCTCCCCCACGTCTCACCTCCCCCACGTCTTCCCCACGTCTCCTTCACGACTCACCTCCCCCGCATCTCACCTCCCCCACGCCTCCCCCACGTCTCCCTCACGACCCACCTCCCCCACGTTTCACACTCCCCACGCCTCACCTCCCCTGCGTCTCACCTCCCCCCAATAAGACAAACGTTTGCCAGCCCTCCTGCATCACCACGACTGCTAGGTCCGCACTTAGGGTGCCTAAATTCCAAACGCACACCTTTCCCAGGTCTCACCTCCCCCCAATAAGACAAATGTTCGCCAGCCCCTCCTGCATCACCACCACTGCTAGGTCCGCATTGGCCGAGGGGTCTGCAGGACAGAAGGGGAAGGGTGGGGGAGGTGCGGGGGGAGTCGGAGTGGAGGGTTGGGGAGGGGAGGGAAAGGGAGAGGTGGGGGAATGGGAGAGGTGGGGGAATGGGAGAGGTTAGAGAGAGGAGATGATAATGGGCTTGTAGGACAGACGTTTGCCAGCCCTTCCTGCATCACTACCACTGCTAGGTCTGCAGGACGAAGAGGGCGGAAGGGTGGGATGCGGGGGGAAGAGGGAACAGTGGGGAGGGGGAGGAGAAGGGCGGGGCGGGGAGACTACTGCTATAGATCGTTACTCTTAGAAGGCTTGCTGCGTTTCGAACCCAATGAATTTCAACCGTGAGGGAACAGTGGGGAGGGGGAGGAGAAGGGCGGGGAGAGGAGGGGGTTGGTGATGATGGGTTGCGGTGGTGGGGAAGGAAGAGGTGGGGGAGTGGGAGAGGTTAGACCAATGGAGGGCTAAACCCTAAACCTGAACCCGAGACCTGGACAGTGGGCTTGTAGGACAGACGTTTGCCAGCCCTTCCTGCATCACCACCACTGCCAGGTCCGCATAGCTGAGGGGTCTGCAGGACAGAAAGCAGGGAGAGAGTGCGGGGTGGGGGCGTCGGGATGGGTGGGTGGGTTGGTGCGGGTTGGTGCGGGTTGGTGCGGGTTGGTGTGGGTTGGTGTGGGTTGGTGTGGGTTGGTGTGGGCCTCGTTGAGCCGGTCTATAACCACTTAGTCCCACACGTCCTTGCACTCAGTGCAAACCCCACTCTTCCTTCCCATGCCAGCACATCACATCGCATCACATCCCTTACGAAATCCCCCATCCACTGCACCCCACACCCCCATGTCCCACTCACTCACCACATGCTTCCTTGAGCCGGTCTATAGCCACAGAGTCCCACACGTCCTGCAAAAGTAAGAGACGAGGGACACGACAACAAGGATGTGGGGGAGAGGGGGGTGGGGAGGGGAAGGGAGAAACTTACTGAGCCTGGCCTTGCAACCTCGGTTCTAGAATTTGGCGATCATGGGAAGGTCTCATTCAAGACAAAACACCAAACAATACCTTTTAACTATATATACGTATATGTATATTATGTATACGTATATATAAATGTATAAATATGTATATATAAATGTATATACATATACATACACATATATTACCTTTGTGAGCGTGAAGGCGCGTTGCAGGTCCAGCTCCAGTGTGTGGTAGGACCCCAGCTGCAGTGCAGGGAAGAACAGATACGGGGAAGGGAAAGGGTAGACAGGGGGGAAGAAAAAAGGAAAAAGGGCCGGTGGATGACTAAGGTGCAGATACAGCTCCAGTGTGTGTGTGGTATGAACCCCCCAGCTTCAGTGCAGGGAGCAGTGCAGGGAGCAGTGCAGGGAGCAGCGTGAGAAGAACAGACAAACAAATACGGGGAAGAGCAAGGGCCGGTGGACGACTAAGGTGCAGATCCAGCTCCACTGCGTGGTATGAACCCCAGCTGCAGTGCAGGGAGCAGGTGAGAGCAGCGCAAAGCAAGATATGCACACAATGAGGCTGCAGGGGATTATTGAGAATTCTCAAAAATACCATATGCACACAATGAGGGGAAAATGGAAGAAAGCAGGACAGCTGCGTATCTGTCTGACTGACGGACACTGACACACGCTTGCTGCTGCGTTAGCACTCATGTCAGTGACACACTCGTTCGTTTTTGTCACACTTGCATACTTGTGCACTTTTTCATTCACGCTCCAATCCCCTCACCTTCACATGCATTGACGTGTATTTTGAGGCGCCTCAACATTCGCGCTCCAATCCCCTCACCTACTTTGAGGCGCCACAAAAATCCTCAACATTAGCGCTCCAATCCCCTCACCTTCACTTGACGTGCTCGTTCTGAGTGACGTTCTTCCCGCAGGCTCGAATGACATGCGCCTTTTGAGGCACCTAAAAACTGTTCGTTCCAGCAACACTCGTGCACTCGCATTCCTCTTCATTCACTCACACGCCACTCCCCTCACCTCACCTTCACGTGCTCGTTCTCAGTCACGTTCTTCCCGCGGACTCGAATGACGTGTGCCGATGCGTCGAAATCCACTTCCTGTCGATCAACGATTGAGGGAGAAAGAAAGACAAAAGAGGTTGCTTTAGATTAGACCTCTCGAAACTCGACAATGGCGTGTGCTGCTGCTGGTGACCATGTGAAACAAGGTACTTTTTGAAACGTTTCCCTATCTATCCAATTTCGCAGGGTTTCCTCAGACCTCTCGAAAATCGATAGTGACGTGTGCCTATTTTTGAGTCGACTAAAAAATCAGACCTCTCGAAAACCGATAGTGACGTGTGCTGCTGCTGACGCGGCGCGTCACGGTCCGCTGCTTTCACTCCAACTCACTGCCTCCTCTCAACCACAGGTGCTGTCATCCCTTTCCCTGACTGTATTCACTTCAAGAGCAGCTGCTATCCTCACTCTATTCTCTCTTCCCACCGCCCTCCGCGCTCACCTCCACGGCCACTTCCAGCCGCAGCTTGATCCGCTCCGACTCACTGCCTCCCCCTCCCGTCTCCTTCTGCACCTTCCTGGAACCATCCAGCAAGAAGAGGGAGGTGAGTTTGTAGGAAGTAGGAGCGAGTGTTGGTTTGAGGAATTCGGGACAGCGCGTGAGAAGATTATTACGTTGCCCCACAACGCAACGATTTCTTTGAGTCGACTGAAAACAATACATGGCCCGTGGTTTGAGTCGACTCAAACGTCTTGGTGTGCGGAATTTGAGTCAGCGCATGAGAAGATTATTGAGTTGACCCACAACGGTTGCTTGCTTGCTGCGTTAGTTCAGGTACTGAGAAAAAACACCAGAGCGTTCAGGTATGAGGGTCCATTCAGGCACCTGAACATCCTCTGAGAATGTACCTGAACATCCACCCACCTGAGCATGTACCTGAACATTCACCCACCTGAGCATGTACCTGAACATCCACCTGAGCATGTACCTGGGCATCCATCGGAGAGTGTACCTGAACATCTATCTGAGAACGCACCTGAGCATCCACCTGAGCACGAACCTGAAGGTGGTGCTCTGCACATGGTCGTGCGGAGCAATGAGGTTGTACGCATGCCATAGGTCCTCCTCCACCTCGGGTACGATCTGGTGTGATGGAGAAAGGGGAGGGAGAAGGGGAGAAGAGGAGGGGGGGGAGGTGTAGGGGAAGGGCTGAGGATAAGGTTGTACGCATGCCATAGGTCCTCCTCCACTTCGGGTACGACTTGGTGAGATGGAGAGAGAGGGGGGAAAGGGGGGACAGAAAGAGGGTTTGGGCTCTAAAGCTTTGCCAAACTATGACTGGCATTCTCAGCCACGTTTTTTTTGGTGGGTGAAAGGAATGCGAGTAGTGAGAGGAAGTAATCTTTTACTCCCCAACACACCTTAGCCACCCCTGGGCCGTCTTTCTCGAAGCTTCTCTTCAGAAGCTTCATCGCGGAGTTGAACGGCGCAACTTCGTTCGGATCTACGAGATCTTTTAGTCTGATTGGTCGAAAGGCAGACGCCGCAAGCTTGTCTAACGGGATATCGTCTGCTACAATAGGTTTGTACGGCCCGAACAAAAAAGTCGCTGAGGGATGAGTAGCTGATTCGTATGAAATTGTTGATTCAGTTTCATTCGACGCAAGAAATGTTGTATTGTAGACTGAATAGGGAAACGGCAAAATAGGAATTGGCTGTTCTCGTCGTAGTTATTTACGCCCACTCACTACACATTCTGAAAGCCACTCTGACCTGACCAGGGTTCACCAGGAATGTGTGGGATCAGGCAGGGCTGAAGAAAAGCCAGCAACCACACTGCACCTGCTTTAGATGTTTCTGCAACCAAATTAACCACATATAGCTGTGTCACTTCGGGTCTTCGCCCTCAACTGCCCTCAGGAGCTAGACTGGTCCCCTATCGCGCGGAATCGAGAAACAATTCCGTCTATTACGAGTTTCGCTTCCAATAAGGTTTGTCCCTCCTAACCACTCTTTGCACACAAATTTACAATTTACATTTGCAGATATACCCTAGCAGTTGTTACTGTACATGTGTTTGGTGGTTGAGGTAGAAAAGCTAACCTTGATGGATTATTGAAACAAGCTCATTCTCCCGGTATGATTCTTGGATTGACCAAAATTACGCTAATGCATATGCAGAAGCCAAGCATAGGGTAGTTGCGCAAGCACATTCTACCGTCCATAGCTCACCCAACACAAGCAAACGACCAGATATTCCAGCCCACCAATCCTAGAAAGAGAATAAACCAGAACACGCAAGAAAACAATCAATCTCAAAGCTCCCAAACCGAATTTTTCTCTCCACCGACTTGCTTCTCTTCTTCAAGTCAAGATCCCCCACCACCACACAGCCAGCCATCCCTGCAAGACACTTGAAATCACTCCAACGACTGCCAACGCAATCTATTCATCACCATCATTGTCATCATTGTCCCCGCGTCCTCCCTTCCTCCCTCCCTTCCTGCCTGCACCACTTCCACTGCAGTTTCCAGACCCACTTCCACTGCAATTCCCACCTCCCCCACCACTCCCCCTCACCCCCCCGCCAGCCCCCTTCCCTGCACCTGCGCCCGTGCGTCCTGCCGCTCCCTGCCGCCCGCCTCCTCCGCTCATCCCGCCTGCTCCGCCTGCGCCTGTGCCACGTCCGCGGCCCTGCTGCTGCCCCGAACCGGCCCGACCAGCACCGCTGCCGCTGCCATTACAGCCGCCAGATCGGGAGCAGGAGGAGGAACCAGAGGAGCCGGAGCCGGAGCCGTCACTCTTGCGGTCGCGGTCGCGGTCCTGGTCGCCAGAGCCGTCCCTCTTGCGATCCCTCTCCCGGTTATCCGCCACCACGTACCCCGCGCTCTGAATGCTCGCCGCCGCCGCGTTTCTCCCCGACCCTCCGCCACCACCGTTGCACGAGCCAGACCCGCCGCTGCAGTTTCCGCTGCCCTTCTTGCCCTGCCGCACCTTCCCAGCGCTGTTGCTGCCGCCCAGCCGCCCGCCACGACCCGCACCCGCGCCAGCGCCGCTCCCCGTTCGCCCCGCTCCGCCTCCGGGCCCGCCTGCGCCGCTTCCGCCTGCGCCGCCGCCGCCCTGCCGGCCGGCACCAGCATTCTGTCGTCCGCCGGCGCCGCTGCCGGTGCAGCCGCCGGACTTGCTGCAGGAGCCGTCGCGGTCGCGATCGCGGTCGCGGTCGCGGTCGCGATCCTGGTCGCGGTTGCCCGTGCCGTCCCGCTTGCGCTCGCGCTCCCTCTCACGCTTCGGCCGGTCGTCGTCGTCGGCGACGGCGAAGGCCGCCAGGTTGACGACAAGGAGCAGGACGATCCCGAGGGCGAGAAGCTTCGACGAAGCCATGGCGGCTCAAATGTCCACGGATGGTCTACAGCGGGTTGGTACTTGAAGTGAGAGCCTGAAAAGGTGAGCTTATATCTGCTATGGTAAATGAGTAGGAATTGCGGATCTGGTTCCAGTCGATGAATGAGCACCTAAGAATGGACTCGACATTTATAGTAGCATTCGGGTGGTAATGGTTTCGGGGCTGCACCGTGGTGGTTTCGGGGCTGCGCCGCGGTGGTTTCGGGGCCACCACGCCCTGGTTTCCGCCGAGAGCGTGGCGTACTGGCCCGCCGGTGGAGCGAACCTGCTCCACTCGAGTTCAGGGAACGCGCCGCCTCCGCTGCAGAACACACACACGCGGCGGGGCACAGTGCAGCACATGCAGAACGCGCAACACACATACCGCAGCGGAACGTGACGCGTCGAGGCGACATCCAGGTTTGCACGCGCAACCGAGGCGGAACTTGAGTAAGCTCCGGTTTGCGCGCACCCTCGGTTTGTGCCCACAGCCGCCGAAGCGTTCCGCGGGAGTGAGACTGACTCGGGCTTGCGTGAGTACGCGCGGCGCCGGGGGAGGAGGGAGGGACTGGTGAAGAAGTCTTCCAGCGCTCGGAAGTTTCTTCGGAAAGGCCCGGCTGAATGGCCGCGCCCTTACGGAGCCGCACGCGCATGTTGATGTACATCAGGCTGGCCGCTAGCTAGAGTGGCTCACTGGGTGGGGGGATTCAGCTGCTACCCGAACTCACTCGCTGCCCTTCTTCTTCCCAATCCACGCTGGATGCAACTGCCAATGACAGGTCTCCTCGTAGGGTTGACCTGTCAGGTAACGTACTGGCAGGTTATGCCCTTGGCATTGTCGTAGCCAACCAACCATCTGGGTTAATGATAACATATACTACACCATGGCGCACCATAGAATCTTTTTACGACAGCACAACACACGCTCGTACTGCGCGCTGAGCTGGCGCAAGATTTCGACTAGCAGTGCTGGCGCTGCTAGACTGGTGCTGGCGCTGCTAGACTGGTGCTGGCGCTGCTAGACTCCAAACGACAGAGCCTGCATGGTCATACCTACAAGTTCGTTTCTGGCGAAGGCTTTGTCCAGCCGGGTTTTCCCTCGAAGCAGCAGCTGTCTGTGATACTTCTGAGGAAAAAACCAGTCGTTGAAATAGATACAAAAGTGTAGTATTCCACAGTAGCGAGACACGCTAGACATACAGATAATATATAAAGGTTTGAATTTCTCCTGACTACAATGTTTACACTCGTAACTTCACTCCACCCATGCGTAAATGGGAGGTTTATTCAACTACCATCATTTTCCTCTTATTCATTATATATATATCAAAAAATGTTAACGAGAATCTGGTTTTAACAGAAACGTTAGGTCAATTTTCTATTCAAAACGTTTGCAGCTCAATTTTTATCTGATTGGTATCTTCATGTGTGTATGTACCAAGCCTTTCTGCTCAAGCAGCGAGCTCCACCCTATCCGCGTTATTGGTCACCTCGCTGTCGGTAGCTTCCTACGAAGCACCTCAAAAGCTACAAATCCATTCGGACCGGTTGAATGCTCGAATTTCCAGCCGTGTTTCGCCTTTCGCGCTCACCACCACCAGCACTTGCATGACAGCCAGAGGAGCCTTCGCCAGAAAATACCTTGTTGACCTGCACCGCAGGAGTGAAGTTAGTTGAGCAGAGAGAACTATCTGTTCGCGACTTAGCAGCACTATACAGCGTTGTCGAGTCGGGTCTGTTTATTCCTGACTTAGGCGCGTGCGACTCCATGGAGAGTGTTTTATGAAGCTTTTTCCACGGAAACCTCCTTTCGCGTCGCTGCCTCCCTCCCCCCTCCCGGATCTTTCCCCCCCTCTCCGCGGGAGTCTCCCCCGATGCGGCATTTTCGCGCAGGGGCCCGCGGGAGCTCGTTTCTGAGCAGGTTCGCGACTCGGCGTCGACCGTCGACGCCATTTCGAATGGCCTTCTTCTATAAATATCGTGGTGTTTCATCGAACCTCCTCATCATTCTAAAGCATATCATCCCACCAAGGTCTCACACTCAAACCTGCGATCGCAACCACAGCTTTCCCACACATTGACGACCACCCGTTAGATCCGACCGACTATCTCTGACAACTTGTGGCGACCGTCTATATGGCACTTCAGAGCCATCCATTGGAGCCAGCTGGCTTTACCAAGTTGACAGTTGACTTGTGGTACCATCCCAAACTCATCTCTCCAATCCGGCGATAGTTTAGTACCGATGGCTTCGTCGAAGCTTCTCGCCCTCGGGATCCTCTTGCTCCTCGTCGTCAACCTCGCGACCTTCGCCGTTGCCGACGCTGACGACGACGACGACGACGACCGCCCGAAGCGCGAGAGGGAGCGCAAGCGGGACGGCTCGGGCAACCGCGACCAGGATCGCGACAGGGACCGCGACCGCGACGGTTCCTGCGGCAAGTCTGGCGGCTGCACCGCCGGCGGCGGCGGCGGCTGGCGGAACGCTGGCGCCGGCCGGCAGGGCGGCGGCAGTGGCGGTGGGGGAAGCGGCGCTGGCGAGGGTGCGGGTCGTGGCGGGCGGCTGGGCGGCAGCAACAGCGCTGGGAAGGTGCGGCAGGGCAAGGAGGGCGGCGGAAACTGCAGCGGCGGGTCTGGCTCGTGCAACGGTGGGGGCGGAGGGTCGGGGAGAAACGCGGCGGCGGCGAGCATTCAGAGCGCGGGGTACGTGGTGGCGGATAACCGGGAGAGGGATCGCAACAGGGACGGCTCTGGCGACCAGGACCGCGACCGCGACCGCAAGCGCGACGGCTCCGGCTCCGGCTCCTCTGGTTCCTCCTCCTGCTCCCAATCTGGCGGCTGCAATGGCAGTGGCAGCGGTGCTGGTCGTGCCGGTTTGGGGCAGCAGCAGGGCCGCGGACGTGGCACAGGCGCAGGCAGAGCGGGCGGGATGAGCGGAGGTGGCGGGTGGCAGGGAGCGGCTGGACGCACGGGTGCAGGTGCAGGGAAGGGGGCTGGCGGGGGGATGAGGGGGAGCGGTGGGGGAGGTGGGAACTGCAACGGAAGTGGGTCTGGAAACTGCAATGGGAGTGGTGCAGGCAGGAAGGGAGGGAGGATGGGAGGACGCGGGGACCATGACGACAATGAAGACCAGATTGCATTGGCGGTCGCTGAAGCGATTCCGAGTGTCTTGCAGGGATGGCCGTGGTGGTGGAAGAAGAGAAGCAAGGAGGCGGTGGACTTCAGAAGCATTTGGGTGTGGATTTTGAATTTGCTTGTTTTATTGTTTGTTCTGGCTTGTTCTATCTTTCTAGGATTAGTGGTTTGGAAATATTTGGTGGCTGGCTTGTGTTGGGTAAGCTACGGTAGAATGTGCTTGTGCAACTACCCTATGCTTGCCTTCTTCATAATGATTAATGTTGTTATATGCATTAGATTGGAGTGATTGTCTTCAATCCAACAACCACAGAATGAGCCTGTTTCAATCATCCATCAAGGCTAGCTTTTCTATCTCCAGACGCATGTAACAACGGCAATATCTGCGGAGGGTTGGGACGGGATTTAAAGGGGTTGGTGGCCTAGGGATGGGTTTCTATGGAGGTGCTTCAACAAGGGAGTATCTCAGCCAGTTGATTCGGGCTCATCCGAGAAAGGAGAAGCGCCATCGCCTTCTTGGGGGTGGTGGGTACCTGCGCTTGGGTGGTGGGGGCCTGGGAGGAGGGGGTTTTGGCGGTGGGGGGCTGGGCTTTCTCGGCGGGGGGCTGGGCTTTCTAGGCGGGGGACTGGGAGGAGGGGAGGGAGGAGGTTTGGGGGGAGGAGAGGGAGGAGGTTTGGGGGGAGGAGAGGCAGGAGGTTTGGGAGGGGGAGGGCTAATGAGTGGTTTCGGTGGTGGGGGACTTGGGGGTGGTCTAAGGGGAGGGGAGGGGGAAGGCCTAGGGGGAGGGGAGGGGGAAGGTTTAGGGGGAGGGGAGGGAGGGGGCTTATTGGAAGTTGAGGTTTTGGGAGGGGGGGAAGGAGGGCGAGGGGGGGGGGGGGGGAGGGGAAGGCGGAGGGGGGGGCTTGGGGGGATTCGGGGGAGGTCGGGGTGGGGGAGATGGGGGCCTGGGGGGCCTTGGAGGGGGACGGGGGGGGGGGAGAGGGGTTCGGAGGAGGCCTTGGGGGGCTTGGAGGGGGGCGGGGGGGCGGGCGAGGGGGAGGGGAAGGGGGAGGGTTGGGGGGGGAGGGAGGGGGAGGCATGACAGCCTGGAAGCATGGGGAGAGTTGGGGGAAGGAGAGGGTCTGATCGAAGTAGGAGAAGAAGAGAGTGTAAGAAGGAGAGGAGACAAAGTCAAGAATGTGAGTGGTGTCAGTGGAAGAGGTGTCAGTGGAAGAGGTGTCAGTGGAAGAGGTGTCAGTGGAAGAGGGACCAGTAGCAGTGCCAGCAGCAGCAGAGGCGGTTGAAGGGGCAGGGGCAGCAGCTGTGCCAGTGGGAACAGCAGGAGATGAGGAAAAGGAGGACCAGGCGTTGAAGGGAACAGGCAGCTGAGAGCTGTTGGATCGGAGAGCAGCGGTAAGATTCCAGCAGTGCGACGGCAGCTGTGATGCAAATGACATGTGCGCCCACCCGCCTGCTGCTGCTGCCGCTGGTGCGAGGGCAGACCTGCAGGATAAGAGAACAAGCATGGAGGTGGAAAGACAGGTGAGGAGGCAGCTGCGATGCAAATGACATGTGCGCCCACCCACCTGCTGCTGCCGCTGCTGCTGCAGCTCGTGCGAGGGCAGACCTGGAATCATGGCAGGGAATATGAAAAGAATGAGAGGTTTCTCAAGCTGGGAAAGTAGAACCAATAATTTTTTACCATATTGAGGCGCCTCAAAATTCGAATCATGGCACAGCCACAGCCACAGTGAGCTTGGCGCGGGGTTTGGGGTTTTGGAATTTTGGGTCTAACTGTTGAACTGCTTTGACTTAACGTTGTACAAGGAGAACCTTCACTTAACTCCCTCACTCACCAGTCCACAGCCACAGTGAGCTTGGCGCGGGTTTCACTGGTGAAGAGCGGGCGGCCGAGCGTGAGAGCGGCAGTGGGCACGGTGGTTACGGGCAGCACGCGGTTACCAGAGCTGCTGTAGATGGCCTCCGGCTGCTCGTCCCCATCATCGTCCACCAGGAGATCCGGCAAGCCGTCATCTGAAGGTAGATGGGGAGATGGGTGGGATGGGATGGGATTGGTTGGATGGGTGGGTAATGGCAGCGGTTACCAGTGCTGCTGTAGATGGCGTCTAGCTGGCCCTGCTCGTCCCCACCGTCGTCCATCGGGAAATCCGGCAACCTGTTGTCTGAGTGAATGGGCAGATTGATTAAGCAATGAGAGTGGGATGGGATGGGTTGGGATGCGGTGGGGTGGGGTGGGGTGGGGTGAAGTGGGGTGGGGTGGGGTCGGGTGGGGACATGGCAAATGCTTCGGGCCCTGCTCATCCCCACCATCATCCACGGGGAAACCCGGCGGGCCATGGCGTGAGCGAACGGATCAGGCATTGCAACAAGGGGCCAGGCACAGGAATTCTGTTTGCAGTCGTCTGAAATAACGTTGCAGGTGGATTGAAAGGACAGGATGGGATGGGATACAATGGGATGGGACGGGATAAGACTATACAAGGTTCGGCTGACGGGCTTTCCTGAAGCAGTGTCGGGCAGATAAACAACGTGCACGAGGTTGTGAATGTGGACCGACTCGAGAGGTGAGTGGGGAACTTACTAGGTGGGTGGGTGCGCGGGTGGGAATGGGGAATTTACCTGAGGCTGCGTCAGACAGATAGACGACGTGCACGAGGTTGTGAATGTCGACCGACTCGAGAATGGGGGAGAGGCCGGTGAGAGGGGAGGAGGTGGTGGTGGTGGTGGCGGTCGTGACTGTATCGAATGTGCCTGTGAGGCTTGCCTCTATAGTCCAGCGCACCATGGCTGTAGCGGCGGGGGGGATGCTTCCCACCTGGGGACAGTGAGGGGAGAGGGACGGGGTGGGGGGAGTGATGGAGGAAAGGAGGGTGGGTGAGAAAGAGAAGGAGGCTGGCCTCTATGGTCCAACGCACCATGGCTGTACCGGCGGGGGGGATGCTTCCCACCTGAGAAAGAGCGGGGACAGGGAGGGGAGAGAGGGGGAGAAGCGAAGGCTAAGTGAAGGAAGAAAGGAAGAAAGGAGGACGGCCTCTATGGTCCAGCGCGTTTTGAGACGTCTCAAAACACGGCCTCTATGGTCCAGCGCACCATGGCTGTAGCGGAAGGGGGGATGCTTCCGACCTGGGGGCGAGGACAGGGGAGGCGGAAGGGGGAAGAGAGGTGGGGGAGCGGTGGGGAGAGAGGGGAGGGAGAGGGGAAATAAGGCGAGATGAAGGGCGGGTCAGGATAGGAGTAAGAAACTGGTGTGTGTGTGTGTGCACTCACAGGCACATGTGGGTGTGTGTATGCGTGTGTACGTGCACAGACGTGCACATCAGCATGTCCACATCAGCATGTCCACGTCAGCACGTACACGTCAGCATGTCCACATCTACACGGGCACACACCTTCAGGGATAAAGATGCGGGCTGAGGCTCATTGCCCAGCAGAGTGTTGGTGATGCTGAGACTCATGGCGGCGCTGCTCGTGTCACCCGTTATAGTTGTAGCGCCCATGTCAGCGGCGGTAGTGGTGGTGGCGTCAGCAGTGGTGCCAGCAGCAGTGGTGGTGGTGGTGGCAGCAGTGGGCAGCAGTGACTGTGTGGCGACAGCAGCAGCCGTGCCTCGGCCTGAGTTGTGGAAGAGTGCTGCCAGCGTGACTGGCACTGGTGTCTCCACCTATGAGGTGTTGGGGAGAGGAGGGAGGAAGGGCAAAGCATAGGGGGCGTGAGTATTGAGAGGTCTCAAAAGAAGATTTGAAACGTCTCAAAACTGGACAGAGGGCATGACTGGCAGGCACCTCTCAGGGGCTGGAGAGAGAAAAGGAGAAAGAGGATGAGGTGACTTTTGAGTCGACTCAAAAGTCACCTCGCAGGCACTGGTGCCGGCACCTCTTAGGGGCAGGAGGGAGAAAAGGAGAAAGAGGATGCACAGCACAACAGAGGGAAGAAGGTGCAGGGTCACTCCTATGAACATGCGTCGCTCTCCCATGCTCACTCCCCTGTCTACATTCCCCCATGCTCACTTGAGGAGTGGTGGGGTCGTCCCCTTGCACATGCCGGGGCACAAAGTAATGCACTTGCAGCGTGGGAGGAGGGGCCACCGTCACTCGCACACTCGTCAGCTCCATCAGCTTCACCACCGCTGCTGCTGCGACCGCCTCTGCTGGCGCTGGTGCAGCTGGCGCTGGTGCTGTTGCAGGTGCTGATGCTGGTGCTGCTGTTGGTGCTGATGCTGATGTGGCATCAGCGGTGGAAAGTGGTGGTGGTGGCGATACAGATGCTGACGTGTCTTGCAGTGTGTACTGTAGACTGCCGCCCAGATGGAAGTTGGTGGGGGCAGCCTGGGCGGCACAGTCAAGCGGCAGTAAAAGCCAATCGATGCTGGCGGAAGCATTTGACGGGACGGTACCTAGAGAGGGAGGGGAAGACAGAGGGGTGGCGATGGGACAGGTACAGTTCAGGTGGGGGGGACTTGCTTGTAGTCGCAGGACTCAATGTATGTTGATGTTACTTTGAGAATTCTGAAAAGTAACATCAACGAGAGGGAAAGTTGCGTTGGGGACTTGCTTGTAGTCGCAGCAGTGTAGCAGTTGTAACAGCCAACAAATAGTGGCATAAGCATTTGGCAGGATAGTACCTAGAGAGGGAGGGGAAGAAGAAGTGTTTTGAGACGGATAGCACGTGGCGCGCATCAAGGATGCGTGCTAGCAAAACACTTCTTCAAACAAACAGGGTATCACCTAGAGAGGGAGGGGAAGACACGTGGCGCTGACAACTGACTGACCTAGCAACTTACTGACTCACCTGCGCCAGTCACATCGTCAATCCCCTGCAGCAGCGGGTCGCTGGAGATAAAGCAGGGGGAGGTGCATGTGCATGTGCGGTGCAAGCATGGGAGAATCAAGCTCACCCCACGTGTGCCTGTCACACCGTCTCACCCCACGTGTGCCTGTCACACCGTCTCACCTGCACCGCTGACGTCCTCAATCCCCTGCAGCAGCGGGTCGCTGAAGACGAAGCAGCTGGAGGCGTCGGTGCCGTTGGGGTAGGTGATGCGCGCCGAGACTGCCACGTCAGACATGGGACGATCCTCCATGTTTGACACGTGCACGTGTGCTTGCACCTATCCCAAAGGAGGGAAGGGGGGGGGTGGGGATGAAAGGGGGACGGGGATTGTGGGTACACACCTATCCAACGGCAGTTAGACATTCATCGGTGGCTAATCAAACACCCATGAGCCAATCGCCCATGCTGAGCACATGCACGTGCACCTTCCTGATTCGCCTAGAAAATTGGCTTATCATACATACAAGTGCTTGTGCTGGTGCTGGTGATTGTGGTTCGATTGAGTATTGGCTGTGTTGCGCGACTCACAGCAGGACCAGAGGCAGTGATTTGATCTGTATGCGCCTTAAAAGCGGTGCTGGTGGTGGTGGTTGTGGTTTGCTCGTGCATGAACTATGTTGTGCGACTCACAGCGGGGTGTGAGGCAATGATTTGATGTCGCAAGGCAGGCGCCCTCGGAGCCCCTGAAGGCACGCTGCTGCTGCTGCTGTTGCCGCCTTGTGCAGTGAAGAGTAGCTCGACGATGGGTGGTGTGGAGTCGGGGGTGAGCGATGCAAGAGAGACAGATGTGCTGCTGCTGCTGCTGCTGCTGGTGGTGGTGGTGGTGGTGGTGGTGATTGGAGTGCTGCTGTTGCTGCTGCTGGCGGTGGTGCTGCTTGGTGGAGTGGTTGACACGGTGTAAGCAGCGACCTCCGTCTGATTCGCTGGGTCGAACCGGGCTGTGAGCTCCGCAGTCACCTTGGAAGTCTCAAAGAAGGCTCCTGAGAACAGGTGGTTGTGCGAGAACAGAGACAAAGATTCTCTTGAGCCACAAAGAGAAGAACTAGTTCCTCTTTGAGAGGTCTAGTCTATTGAAGGCACTACCCTCCACAAAGATCAAATTTCACAAAGAATCCTCCACCTACCTCTCTCCCACAAACGCCAGTTCATGATGAATGATGTGTCGCTTGTTCGTGCCCCACTCCCACCACCACGTGAGACATGCTTGCTTGATGGCACACCACATGCACAAACAGCCAGTTCCTGCATCATATACCCAAGCCACTCCCCACATGAAAGAAGAGTGTTTTTGAGACGTCTCAAAAACACTCTTCTTTCAAATAGCCAGTTCCTGCATCATATACCCAAGCCATTTTCCACCCACCTCCCACAAACGCCAGGTCATGAATGATGTGGCGCTCGTTCGCGCCCCACTGCCACCACCACGTGCCAGCTGTGAAGCCGACAGACGCTGACGTGGCGCCGAGGATGGCTGGGATGTCCACGTGGGCAGTGAGCACTGGTACAGCTGGCTTGACCGGCGGTGACATGGAGGAAGTGGAGAAAGCTGATGAAGCTGATGATGAATCAGAAGAAGTGGCAGACGTGGCAAAGTTTTGAGACGTCTCGAAATTCGAGGAAGCCGATGATGATGAATCAGAGGAAGTGGACGAAGTGGATGAAGCAGAGGAAGCAGAGGAGGCGGAGGACGCTCCACCGACGAACACACTGAGCGTCTGGGAAGGCCCGTGATAAGTCACCCAAGCACGCTGCTGGGTGTTGAGGGGAAACGCCTGGAGATGGTTGTTGTGGGTTGTGGGCGAGGGTGGGGTGGGTTGAGGTGGGGTGGTGATTTGTTCATGTAGCATGCATATTGCCAATCCTCTTTTCATCACATGCATGCCTGAGAGAAACAACATGTGAGGCGCGGCGCCTCATGTGCATACTGCCGATGCAGGTTGTTACCCTCTTTTCATTACATGCATGCCTGAGAGAAACGTCGTAATAAAACTTGGGTTCTGAGACGTCTCAAACCTTTCATTACATGCATGCCAGAGGGAAGCAACGCACCTCAGGATCTGAAAGTGTCACGCCATACTCAGCTCCAGCACAGCCGTCTCCCGCCACGACTCCCTTAGAGGAGACGGCTATACAGGGTACGGAGCACAGGCGAAACTCCACTGCCACACTCCTGGCGAATGTCCCATTGGCTGAGCCATACCCGAGGGAGCTGCAAGGGGAAAAAAAGGCGAAGTTGAGAGGAGGAAGAAAGGTTTGAAACACCTATACAAGGGACAGGGCACAGGGCACAGGGCACAGGGCGCAGGGCGCAGGGCGCAGGGCACAGGGCACAGGGCACAGGGCACAGGGCACAGGGCACAGGGCACAGGGCACAGGGCACAGGGCACAGGGCACAGGGCACAGGGCACAGGGCACAGGGCACAGGGCACAGGGCACAGGGCACAGGGCACAGGGCACAGGGCACAGGGCGCAGGGCGCAGGGCACAGGGCACAGGGCACAGGGCACAGGGCACAGGGCACAGGGCACAGGGCACAGGGCACAGGGCACAGGGCACAGGGCGCAGGGCGCAGGGTACAGGGTACAGGGTGCAAGACATTTTCCCCTCCCTGCCTTCCTAGTGTAAGCTCCCAGTGCTGGTGAGTCGTTCATAGGGTTCCAGCACAGCTCGTGTTTGCTTACCGCACCTCTCATTTGCCTTTGCAAGGGCTGTTGTCTTGTCAGTCAGGCTGCTGGTGGGCACAAAGGCAAAGGCAAAGCCCGTTGGTGTTGGCCCTTAGAACCCGCAATTTATCTCCTCTCACTATGCTTGCTTGCATTCCTCATCACCTCGTGTTTGCCTTCCCAAGGGCTGTTGTCAGGCCGGTGGTGATTAAGTACAAAGGCAAAGCCTGTTGGGCCTGGCCTTGATAACTGGAATTTTCTTTCCTCACGTCGTCTTTGTGCAAAGCATGTTGGGTACGGTCCAGACTGTGCGTTTTAGTTCCTCACGTTATGGTTGCTTTCCTCCTCACCTCGCGTTTGCCTTCCCAAGGGCTGTTGCTGGGCCACTGGTGACCACAAAGGCAAAGCCGCGACCCACGCTCTGGAAAAAGGGAATAGAAAGAAGGAAACAGGAAGGATGGAAGGGACCGGAGAGATGAGGGTGAGTGCGCATCACCCACCCAAGATAGATACCCAAGTTCACTCAAAGTCAGCTTGGTGGTGAAATGAGGACGGGTGATGAAATGAGGACGGGTGATGAAATGAGGACGGGTGATGAAATGAGGACGGGTGATGAAATGAGGGCGGGCGGTGAAATGAGGGCGGGCGGTGAAATGAGGGCGGGCGGTGAAATGAGGGCGGGTGGTGAAATGAGAGCGGGTATACGTGGGGATGGCACGTGGGGATGGCACGTGGGGCTATGCGGGCATCAATATGTGAGGCTCCCATGTGCGGGCTCCCTGCCTCCCCTCCCATGCGGGCTGCCTGCCTCCCCTCCCATGTGGGCATTTGAGGCGTTTTTTCGAGTTCTTTAATCCTTTTTTATTATTATTATTATTTTTTTTTTTCACGTTACGTAGCACACAGCACATGGCACAAGGATGGTGAGCCTCCACTCACCACATTAGCAGCGCATGCATCAGCGAGGAAGGTGAAGGAGAAGGCGGCTTCAAAGGCGGTGGAGCGGGCGGAGGCAGTGAGGAGGGAGAGGGGCGTGAGGGAGAGAGCAGAGCCGACAGAATCGTACGAGTCGAGCCACAGCGGAAAGAGCGGCGCCGGGCCCAGCTGGGCGTAGCCGTTGAGATCAAAGGGGGTGGTGCCCGCGAAACCCACGCAGTGCAGGGAGGAGGCGGTGGTTTCGCAGGTGGGTGCCTGTGTGGGCTGCGCTGCTGGCAGGAAGCCAGGGGAGACTGGGGGATTGAGAGGGGAGGGTGGGGGACAGAAAAGGAAGTAGGAGTTTCAAAACCTTACGGTGAAGGACAGATGCCCCCTTGTATAGATGACTCAACGCTGGCAGGAACCCCGGGAGACTGGGGTTTGGGAGAGGCAGGGAGACTGGGGCTTGGGAGAGGTGTGGGGGAGAAAGAGAGTAGGGCCAGGAAATGGGGGTTAGAGGACGGGGGTAGGGGAGATCTTTGCTGCTGGCAGGAAACCCCGGGGAGACTGGGAAACAAGTAGAGGGGCAACAAATGGGCAGAGAAGAAAACATGTAACTGAGATATGCAGGAAAACAAAAAAAATTTACTGAGATGTGCTACCAATGGCCATGGAACTGAGTTGTGAGACAAGTGTATCCTACCACTGTATCCTACAGTGAATATTTGTGAGTGTCTTTTGAGGCGCCTCAAGAGTTGTGACACAAGTGTATCCTACATATATATGTCCTACAAACGTACATCCTACATGCGTACCTCCTACATACGCACCTCCTACATACTTGGTATCAGTGAGGATTTGTCAGCTCACCGGTGTTGAAGGAGAAGGAGTGGATGAGGTGGTCGTCAAATGAGTTGCTTTCATATCCGACTAAAAAAGTTGACATCAACAATTTTTGTTCGCCGCTCACCAGTGTTGAAGGAGAAGGAGTGGATAAGGTGGTGGTCGTCCGTGTCGCCACATCCCCACCACCACGTGCCAGCTGTGAACCCCACAGACGCTGACGTGGCGCCAATGATAGCCACAAGATCCAGCGACGCCCGCAGCACCGGCTCCTCGGGCTTTATGCCGTCGCTGCCGCCCAGATAGACCTCGAGAGACTGGGATGTGCCGTCGTATGCCAGCCACGCGTGCTGCACCTCGTCAAGTGCTATCTTCTGCTTTGTAAGGGCAGTGCATGCACAGTGCACACACACGCACATGTACACACAAGGGGAACTGAGTGGATTCTGAGGTTGTCTTAAAGATGTGCCGTCGTATGCCACCCATGCGTGCTGCACCTCGTCCAGTGCAACCGTTTGCATGGTAAGGGCAGAGAAAGATGACATGCAGCCTTCTTCTGCATGGTAACATGCACTGATGCTTCACGAGAAAAGATACGCTTGACATGCATATTCCAACCATCCACCCATGCTTCACTTGGCCAAACCACGTCACATTGCAGGAGGAGGCTGCATCAACCGACATTTACTGCATTGCGGCGCAATGCACTGCACCAAAGCGCACTTCACCGCACTGAACCGACCTGATCGCCTGTGAGCCCAGTCATCTGGTCAGCAGCAGCGCAGTTGTCGCCTGAAGCGACGCCGTTCACCACCACAGCCACACACGAGGTGGGCCCCGACCGCACCTCCACTGCCACACTCCCGTTGAACGCCCCTGGTGCCGCTCCCCCATACCCCATGGCTCTGGTGGGAGGAGAGGACGTGGATGCAGAGTGGGGTTGAGAAGGCATGTGGATGGAGAGTGGGGTTGAGAAGGCATGTGGATGCAGAGTGGGGTTGAGAAGGCATGTGGATGCAGAGTGGGGTTGAGAAGGCATGTGGATGGAGAGTGGGGTTGAGAAGGCATGTGGATGGAGAGTGGGGTTGAGAAGGCATGTGACATCATCAACAGCTTTAAGAAATAGATTCGACTTGGATCCAACGGTCCTAACTCGCTCTATTCTACTCTATGCTGAGTTGAAGCTAGTAGGGAATGAATAGGTAAGAAGTTTGTCATTCAAACCTGAGTGTACGCGTTTCGGCCGGTGGCCTTCATCAGCGCTCTCAGAAATACAAAAAAGACTACCCCTTTTCTACTCCCATCTCCCATCTATCTCTGGTGGGAGGAGAGGACGTGGATGGAGGGTGGGGTTAAGAAAGGCATGTGGCATCATCAACAGCTTTCCCTATGTGACTTCCCAAAGGGCCCAATGTGGAGGGGGCATGGGGGGGAGAAGCCATGGATTTTCGACAATTCCATGGAGAGTGCCAACCCGAATCACCTCTAGGTTACTTTTTACTCGACTCAAAAGTCACCTCGTACCTCTAGGTTACTTTTTACTCGACTCAAAAGTCACCTCGTAAGAAGACATGGAATTTTGGCAATTCCATGGATAGCGTCAACCCGAATCACCTCTCTTCTCCAACACCAAGGAGTGACACTCCCATATATGGGGATCCCCATATAGCTCCACTCGACCACTCCATTTTTGAGGCGCCTCAAAAAAAAAAAAAAACGTCAAGGAGTGACACTCCCATCCCATATATGGGGAACCCCATATAGGTCCACCACTCCACCCCATCTTCCATGGTAGGTGGATACTATTAGAACAGAATCAACCCGTATCCACCTGACAGTCATCCCATATAGCTCCACCACTCACCCCATGGCACTGGAACCACATGCTGTCTTTTCACCGCTGGTGACAACAAACGCCAGCCCTCTGCTTCCCCGGTAGCCATACGACGTCTCCGTCAAGACTGAGAATGAAAACGCCGCCTCAAAAGCCACCTCTGCCATTGCTGCTGCTGCTACTGCTGCTGCTGTTTTTCCTGTTGTTCCTGCTCCTGCAGTCACTGCTGACGTGGACGAATCCAGCGAGAGCGCCAGGTCAGCGAGCGTGAATGCGCTGCCAGCGGTGCCGCCGGTGTCGAGGACGAGGGGGAAGGAGGGGGCGGGCCCCACGTGGGCGTAGCCGTTGAGGCGGAAGGCTGAGCGGCCCGCAAAGCCCGAGCAGGTGAGACGCGTGTTGGAGGGGGCGAGATGGCACGTGGTGGGCGCAGGGGAGGGCGGCAGTGACTGCTGCGACCCGGGGGGAACTGGAAGTGCGGGGGGTGGAGAAAGGTACGAGAGGGGAACAGCATCTCCATCTTTCCTCCTTTTTCCAAATGAGGTGACTTTTGAGTCGACTCAAAAGTCGCCCTCCTCCACAGCATCTCCATCTTTCCTCCTTTTTCCCGGAAACAAAAATAAAGAAAGAAAGAAATAAACATACGTATCTGAATATTTACAACACATGTGTGCGTTTATATATGTGCTGTACATATATAAACATATACATGTACATCTACATATATATATAAACATACATATATACTTGTATTTTATCGTACCAGCTTGGAAGGAGAGGGAGTGGATGATGTGGTTACCAGCTTGGAAGGAGAGGGAGTGTGTGATGTCCCCCCTCCAGTACATTTATACACATATACATGTCCTACCAGCTTGAAAAGACAAGGAGTGGATGATGTGGTCTTCAAGGTCGTCCACCCACGTCCACCACGACGCGCCTGTGAAGCCAACTGACAGCCCCGCCGTGCCGCCCAGCACGGCCGCCACATCAATGGGCGTGACCAACACAGGTGCGGTGGGCTTGGTGGGGGCGTCGGGGGACACAAACACCTGCAGCGCGCCGCTGCTGCCATCGTAACTCACCCACACATGCTGCGGCTCGTTTAAAGTGAATTCCTGGGGAAGGGATTGGGGTGGGGGGAGGGGGGGGGGGCGGGGTAGGGGGGGAGCAGGAGAATCAGGGAAGGAAGAGGTCAGTTTGAGGAGCAGCAGGCGTGCCGCCCAGCACAGCCGCCACATCGATGGGCGCCACCAGCACGGGCGCTGAGGGCTTGGTGGGCATGCCGGGTGACACAAACACCTGGAGTGTGCCAGTGCTGCCAGTGCTGCCAGTGCTGCCAGTGCTGCCATCGTAACTCACCCACACGTGCTGCGGCTCGTTCAGCGTGAACGCCTGTGGGAATGGGGGAGTGGGGGGAGGGGTGGGGAGATTGGGGGAATGGGGGGAAGTGGGGGGGAAGGGGAGAGTGAGGAAGGAGGAGGAGTAAGAGGGACGGGTGGATTAGGGGAGTGTGAGAGACGCAAGCACCTGCAGTGCACCGCTGCTGGCGTCGTAACTCACCCACACGTGCTGCGGCTCGTTGAGGGTGAATCCCTGGGGCAAGGAGGGTGAATCCCTGGGGCAAGGAGGGTGAATGGAGGAGGGGGGGTTGTGGGGGAGTGGGTCAGTGGGGGAGTGGGGCAGTGGGGGGCGAGTGGGGCAGTGGGGGGCGAGTGGGGCAGTGGGGGGCGAGTGGGGCAGTGGGGGGCGAGTGGGGGTTGATGTTGGTTCCAAGAATCGCCTCAAATGGGAGCTGCAGGCAATTGAATTGAATCCAACCAGATCTGACCTGTTCGGGCGGCAGCAGCGCCATGGCATCGGAGTCGGCACAGTTGTCGCCGGCCACCTGCCCGCCCACCACCACCGCCACACACGCCGTCGGCCGCGCCCTCAACTCCACCGCTATGCTCCTAGCAAAGGACGCGTTGAGGGCTGATCCGTAGCCAATATTGCTGGTTAACGTTGAGAGGAAAGCACAGCAAGGAGAGGATTGAAGGGGCGTGTTTTGAGATGTCTCGAAAAACGCGTGTTTTGAGACGTCTCGAGAGCACAGCAAGGTATGGATTAAAGGGGCAGAGTGAGGGTCGTGTTGCAAGAGTGAGGGTCGTGTTGCAAGAGTGAGGGTCGTGTTGCATGGGCCGCGCTCTCAGCTCCACTGCCACGCTCCGTGCCAAGGGCGTGTTGGGGGCTGCTGCATAGCCTATGGCACCGATGGGAGTTGAAAGGAAAGCACAGCAAAAGGAGTCAAGGGGCAGGAGTGAGTGTCCTGTTGACGGGCCACGATGTCGCTGGTGGGTAATGGGAGAGGAGCAAGGGGCAGGAGTGAGTGAGGGTCACTGTTGACGGGCCGCGATCTCAGCTCCACTGCCACGCTCTGAGCAAAGGGCGCGTTGGGAGGGAGCTGATCCAACGCTGATCTGATCTATGGCCTATGTGATGGGTGCAGGCAGAGGAAGATAGAGGGAGCAGAGAGTGAAGGCCCTGTGGTGTTGAGGAACCACCTCCGCGCTCTCAGCTCAACCGCCATGCTCCGAGCAAAGGGTGCGTTAGTGGGAGTCGGAAGGGGAGGGGAGAGTATTGGTGATGGTGAAAGGGAGGTTGGAAGACGGAAAGATGGAATAGGAGCGAGAGAATAAGGGCGAAATGGGAGTCGTGTTGGGAGCTGCCCCGTGCATCCGCACTACCACACCCAACCCCTCCCCACCCCCCACTCCCTATGCACAGCATGCTCTAGCACATCAAGTAGTACCGCACTACACCTCTCCATCCTTCCCCACCACTCCCCACCGCTCCTCACCTGGCGGAGCTGCGGCCGCAGGCGGTCTTGTCCCCGGCAGTGAGCACAAACGCCAGCCCTCGACTGCCCCAGCTGTTGTAATCCGCACTCGCCGCAAACGACACTGAAAACTCCGCCTCAAACGCCACCGGCCCACTGCCGAGGCTGAGGCTGAGGCTCGGGATGGAGAAGGCGCAGCCGGCAGCATTGGTGGTGGTGTCGAGCCAGATGGGGAAGTTCGGTCCGGGCCCGACCTGAGCATCCCCAGAGAGGACGAAGAAGGGCGAGGAGAGACCTGGGGAGGCGGAGGAGAAAGAGGAAGAGGAGAATCCGACGCAGGAGATGCTGGTAGCAGTGACGTTGCAGGGGGGAGGGTCAGGAACAGCTGTGGCAGTGGCAGCTGTGGCAGTGGCAGCTGTGGCAGTGGCAGTAGCAGCGCTGGAAGCTGCATCAAGAGAGGAGATGGAGAAAAGGCCGCCACCAGCAGCAGAAGGATCCGTGGCTCCAAACGAAGGCACCGTTGCACTGCTGATATCGGCCGAGCGGGGGAGACGAGACCCAGCAGTGGTAGCATCAACAGTGGCAGCAATGGTAGCATCGGTTGTAGCACCGGCTGTAGCATCGGCTGTAGCACCGGCTGTAGCGTCGGTGGAGAGGAATTCGAAGTCAAACGAGTCAACGATCTGCATGAGCTCGCCTCCGGCGTCCCCCCCCACAGCAATCCCGGCTGCTTCAACCTCGGCTGTATCTACTGCTTCCGACCCTCCTGTCAACCCCACAAAGAGACAACCGTCGCCGCCCACCGCCGTCCCGCCAACGCCGCCCGCGCAGCTGCCATCTGCTGCCAAGCCGAGCACCCGAGGAAGGTCGACAGGCTCGGAGAGCACCGGAGCTGCAGGCTTGGTGGGGGAGGAGCCGCTGAGGAAGAGGCGGAGAGAGGCGAGTGAAGCGTCGTAGTCCACCCAGGCGTGCTGCTGCACCCCCGGGACTAGGAGCTGGGGGGAAGGGTGTGCGGGGGAAGGGGAAACAGAAGAGACAATATGGGGTAAGGATTGGGTATGCGGGGAACGAGGACGGAGAGAGGCGAGTGAGGCGTGGTTGTCCACCCAGGCGTGCTGCATCCCCAGGACCAGCAGCTGCACACATGGGGGGGAGAGGAGGGGGGAGGAAAGGCGTCGTAGTCCACCCAGGTGTGCTGCTGCACCCCCGGGACCAGCAGCTGGGGGAGGGGGGGAGAAAACAAAGGGAGGAAGGGATCAGGGGAGGGAGTGGGGTTGATTATGAGGGGGGGAGGGAGTGGGGTTGATTATGGGGGAGGGAGTGGGGCTGATTATGGGGGAGGGAGTGGGGTTGATTATGGGGGAGGGAGTGGGGCTGATTATGGGGGAGGGAGTGGGGGTGATTATGGGGGAGGGAGTGGGGGTGATTATGGGGGAGGGAGTGGGGGTGATTATGGGGGAGGGAGTGGGGCTGATTATGGGGGAGGGAGTGGGGTTGATTATGGGGGAGGGAGTGGGGCTGATTATGGGGGAGGGAGTGGGGGTGATTATGGGGGAGGGAGTGGGGCTGATTATGGGGGAGGGAGTGGGGGTGATTATGGGGGAGGGAGTGGGGGTGATTATGGGGGAGGGAGTGGGGGTGATTATGGGGGAGGGAGTGGGGGTGATTATGGGGGAGGGAGTGGGGGTGATTATGGGGGAGGGAGGCGTCGTAGTCCACCCGGGCGTGCCGCTGCACCCCCGGGACCAGCAGCTGGGGGGGGGGGGGGGGGGGGTGTAGGTGGGGAGAAGGGGACGAGAGGAAAGGAGGAACAGTATGGGTACGGAATGGATATTGCAGAACAAAAGGAGAAGTTGGAGGCGTCGTTGTCCACCCAGGCGTGCTGCTGCACCCCCGGGACCAGCAGCTGGGGAAGGGTGGGATGGGAAGGTGGGGAGGGACAAAGGGTGGATCGGAATGGGGGAAGGGGTGGGTGGGGGCGCGGCGCATTAGCTCGGAGGGAGACAAGCCGGCGTCATAGTCCACTCAGGCATATCACAATACCCCACCAACACACAGGACCGTCAAGTCATGCACACGGGTTGCGACCCTCTGTCTCTCCCTCCCTATAAGCTCGACGTACGTGGGTTGGACCACCTCCCCCCCCCCCCCCCTCCCATGCTCCCTCCCTCCCTTCTGCGTACATGGGGTGCGTCAGGCGACGAAGGGTTGAGAGCCGCCCATCCGGCAGTGCCGTCCGCCTTGCCGCCCAGCAGCACGCCGGCAGAGATGGGCGGGCGGCCGCTCAGCACCACTGCCAGGCTGGCATCGAAGGCGGCGCCGCCGTAGCCGGCAAGGCTGGGGGGAGGGGGACGGGTGGTAGGCGGAAGGGGGATTGAGAGAAGCGAAGGGTGGCCGGCCGATCAGCACCACTGCCAGGCTGGCATCGAAGGCGGCGCCGCCGTAGCCAGCAAGGCTGGGGGGAGGGAGGTGGGGATGGGGGAGGAAAGGGGGGGGAGGGGGAATGGGAGGGGAGAATGGACGGGAGGCGAGGGTGGAGGAAAAGGGAGAAACGGGTAATCCCAAAGGGGTAATCCCAAAGGGGTAATCCCAAAGGGTAATCCCAAAGGGGTAATCCCAAAGGGGTAATCCCAAAGGGGTAATCCCAAAGGGGTAATCCCAAAGGGGTAATCCCAAAGGGGTAATCCCAAAGGGGTTAAGGCACGAGTGAGCGAGGGGGAAGAAGCACCTGGGGAAGGTTGTACCTCACCTGTGCAAGATGACAACATCTGGGGGAGGTTGTATCTCACCAGGGCGAGATGACAGCATCTGGGGGAGGTTGTATCTCACCAGGGCGAGATGACAGCATCTGGGGGAGGTTGTATCTCACCAGGGCGAGATGACAGCATCTGGGGGAGGTTGTATCTCACCAGGGCGAGATGACAGCATCTTGGGGAGGTTGTATCTCACCAGGGCGAGATGACAGCATCTGGGGGCGGTTGTATCTCACCTGGGCGAGATGACAGCATCTGGGGGCGGTTGTATCTCACCTGGGCGAGATTACAGCATCTGGGGGAGGTTGTATCTCAACTGGGCATCTGGGGGCGGTTGTATCTCACCTGGGCGAGATGACAGCATCTGGGGGAGGTTGTATCTCACCTGGACCGGCTGGCAGCATCTGGGGGAGGTTGTAACTCACCTGGGCGAGCCCACGGTGGTGTTGGGTCCGCCAGTGATGACGAAAGCAAGCCCCATTGCCACGTCAGCCTCGTTCTGCCCCTCCAGCTGGAACGTGAAGCGCGCCGAAAAGGACAGTGCCGAGCCTCCACCGCTGCCGAGCGGGGGCGAGAGCGCGGCGGAAGTGAATGCGGAACCCGCGAATCCCCCCTCAGTGCCCGCGAAACCAGCGGAACCAGCGGATCCCGCGGAATCCGCGGATCCCCCCTCACTGTCCGGCGCGCCCAGGACGAGCGCGGCGCTCCCCTGGTCCGTGTCCGTGATATAAGCGTGGCCGTTCAGAACGAAGGCGCCACCTTCGCGGCCGTCCGTAACGGCGAATCCCGCGGGGCACAACACGGAAGATGGCGACACGGTACAACCAGGGGAGGCTTTATCTGAGACTGAAACCGCTCCCGGGCCGGTCGCCGCGGCGGCGCTGAGTCGATGTGCTGCGGGGGAGCAATACACGACGAGTAGGAGGAGGATTGCGAAGCTGTCATAGTAGCTCCGGCGAATTCGACTGTTACAGCGTCTCCTCCTTACAGCGGAACTCAGAGCCAAACAATAACGAGGAAAAACTGGAGCTTCCCGGCGAAACGAGGAGTTCCGCTTGCGCTCCATGAGAGTAGTCGTGGCTAATATCTCCGCCGCAACTCACGCCTGCAGCGCAGTACGTGGCGTAACCTGCGGAGGTGGAATTAGTCAAACTTCTACTCGCGCACATCAATCGAGAGTCATCAAAACTACGGACGACATCAATTAGTCAACAGAAAGAATCTCCGCGAACCCTAGAGGCACCAGGGAGTTTCAGCATGTCCCCCATTGCCGAAAGCTTGCTATCTGGTTGTTGAATTGAAAGCCTAGGGCGGCTGCAGCAGACACTTTCCACAACGACCCAGCCAGCCAAGCCAGCGCTTCGGGCTGGCAAGAAGGGAGGTGCCATTGCGTGGCGGCAAATTTGGCGAAATTCTGCAGATTTGTGCTTCACTTGCTCGTAGAGAGTAATGTTACTGAAATTCCTCGTTTGTTCATCGCACGTGCTAGCGAACCTCTTCGTTCAGCACTTTTCGCACATTCGGTAACGCGAAATCTGGTGACAGCTCACACAGGTAGGTGAACTGGTGGGAGTTACCGCTGTTGCGAAATTTACAGGCATCACGAAAGTGGTGGAATCGAGGTTGACGAAGAACGGTGCCCTGAGCCATGAAAATGACTGAATTTCCTGCGCTGCAGTGGTCGGAGAGCTCAGTGAAACCGACCATATTTGCCTTCTCCACAGATCATATTCATCCGACTCACGGTTCCAGCTGTTTACTTGTGGTCAGGAACGGTTCGCGGATTCTATCGTTTCGAGAGATAATACGTTATTCGTGAACAATTAGATATACACCCTCCTTACACTGCAATAAAAAGCATCGCATCACTGCTTTATAAAATCACTCTTTCCACAACAGACATGATTGTAAAGAGCACTCTCTACTTCCGTTGAAGGATACGCCGAGCCACGTGGCGTTCGATGGGAGGCAGTGCTCCCTTACCCGTGCTTGTGCGGGCCAAACCCAAAGCAGCCTCGCGCGGCGCAAGAAAGATCCTCTCGACGACAATCGTAGCCGTCGAGTGGGCGTGAAGCCAAACATCGACGCCACACACACATCTGACATCTCAAGAAACCGCGAATTCTACCACCCCCTCTGACAATCACCATGACGCTGTTCTGCAGCGCAGCAGTTGGGCTGAAGCTAGATTGGTCCCTGACCTGAATTGACAATTTGGTCCCTGAATTCACAAATTCACAGATTCACTCGCACATTCACAAAACTCAGCTGCTGCCATCAATCACAGATTTACAGGCTCAAGTGAAACATTTGAGCAAGACAGCCATAACCAGCCTGTGAATCTGCGACATTATCCTTCGCCGATTACCTTTCTTCTTGCAGCGGTCTTTCTCGCCAAACCTCATGGCGTTTACTATTGCCACTCAGCCTACTACCCCGTATGAGGGACAGAAGCCCGGGACCTCGGGCCTAAGGAAGAAGGTAGCACTCCTGCGGTAGCACTCCTGCTTCGCTCGCTCAAAACAAGCTGAAAAGATCGACCGCCTGTCATCTTATTAGCTAAATCCGATCCAATTCGTCGTGTTACCAGGTCACGGTCTTCCAACAGCCGAATTACCTGGCGAATTTCGTTCAGGCAACCTTCAATTCGCTTCCCGCTGACAAGATCCAGGGTAAGCATGCGAGTTTAGATCCTCCTCCTAGACTTCGATCCTTTTTCGTGAATACGCTTACATGAGAACTCTGAAAACTCATCGTAGCTTCCATCTTCAAACGTCTCGAGAATCAGCGTCAGACACCTAGTCTCGCTCCATCGCAGTTCCCTAGTCTGGCATGGTTCAAACTTATTTGTTGAACATATTGACACGTTATCTTGCTTGGGTGTCACCATTCCCGGTTCTGACATGGTCCGGTCTGTTTCCTCTCCTGTTCAGGCTGCACTCTCGTTGTTTCTGGCGACGGTCGGTACTATTCCAAGGACGCGGTTCAGGTAACGCCGGACTCCGCTCTTGCGGACCATCACATCCATTCGCGTGCCTTTCGTGAACTTGGATCCGTCACGGCTTGAATTCAGTATGACTTGAATCCATGACGAATTGAATCTTTGTCGTCGCGTTAAAATGCATGACAGATTATCGCCAAGCTCGCAGCCGGCAATGGAGTTTGCCGGATCTGGGTGGGTCAGGACAGCCTCCTCTCCACACCAGCTGTGTCTGGAATCATCCGCGATCGCGTCGGAATACAGGTGAAGACATATTATTCTTCTCCCACTATCAGTTTGGTAGCCTATATTTCGGTCGAGAAACCACTGCAGGCCTATATATTTCTGCGTGAGCTGGGAGTGACTGGTCATGCCTGATAGCGCTAACTCCTGTCATCTGGTTGCTTGAAACAGGGGGACAAGGCGTACGGAGCGTTTATTCTCACAGCGAGCCACAACCCCGGTGGGCCGCACGAGGACTTTGGCATCAAGTACAACTGCGAGAACGGAGGGCCGGCTCCCGAAGGCCTCACCAACCAGATCTACCAGCACACCACTACCATCTCCGAGCTCAAGATCGCTGAAGGCCTTCCCGAGGTACGTTTGTGAGGTTTTATTAGTCACTCCCTGGCTTAACGTTCAGGTGTGAAAGCGTAGGCCCGGCTCCCGAAGGCCTCACCTGACCAACCAGATATAGCATCACACCAGAACCAACCATCTCCGAGCTCAAGATCGCTGAAGGCCTGCCCGAGGTAGGTTTGTGAGGTTCTGTTAGTCACTTCCCATGAAGACTTGGGCTGAAAGTGCAGGTGCGAGAGTGTAAGCCCTTGTCCCGAAGGCTTGACCAACCAGATCTACCAGCACACCACAACCATCTCCGAGCTCAAGATTGCTGAACGCCTGCCAGAAATTTCATGAATTCTGTTATATTTGAAAACTCCAGCTGCTCCATAAGACTGTTGATTGCTTTCATCTGACTCTTGGTGAAACTTCACCTCTGGTCCTCCCTCCCTTTTCCACTTCTCCCTTTTACCTTTTTTTTTGTCTCGCTTCCTGCTGCAGGTGGACATCAGCACCATCGGGTTGCAGTCCTTTGACAGCCAGAATGGCAAGTTTGAGGTGGAGGTGTTTACCTCCGCTGTTGTTTCCTCCTCACTTCTCTGCCTCCCCATTCCTCTTGCCTATTTCGCTTGCCTCTCTTATGGCCATTGCAGGTGGACATCCACACCATCGGGTTGCAGTCCTTTGACGGCCCGAATGGCAAGTTCGAGGTGGAGGTGTTCGACTCCGCGGAGGACTACATCAAACTCATGAAGTCAGTCACACACCACTCCCCTTCACTTTTTTGTTTTGTGTTTCGTTTGTTTATGCAATGATCAAGTAGAATTTATGCCGAAGTCAACATGAGCCCCATGAAACCAGTCCTCTGTCCTTGTATTACCCTCCCATGTCCCCTTCGTTGTCATTAGCTTGCTTCCCTTCTGTATGTCCGGCTTTTTTTTCCCTTGGTGCAAAACCGCCTCTACTCCATTCACAATGAAGTGCTTTCCTTCCTTCTTCACGTGATGTTGCTCGACTCACACTGCTGTTGCGACTGTTCTTTCCTGCAGGACCATCTTTGACTTCGATGCCATTCGAGGGCTCCTCAAGAACCCCAAGTTCTTGTCTGAGTCGATTCAAAACTCATGCCTCTCGCCTCACGCTGTTGTTTCTACTTCTGCTGTTGCTGCAGGACCATCTTTGACTTCGATGCCATTCGAGGGCTCCTCAAGAACCCCAAGTTCTCGTTCCTGTACGTCTCTTAGCCCTGGCAATCCAAGTCGTAGTCTTGAGTTGTCTTTGCCTTCGTTAGCAGCAAGTGCACACTGAGGGGAGTCTGTAAGCATCAAAGTAAGACGAGCCTCAAATATCTGAATTCACTTGTAGGCTTTCTTATGATCTCATGGGACGAGATATCTACATTATTCGCCTCCCCTGTTATCTTAAACTCGCTTTTATCTATTGTTGCGTGCTTGTCACAGGTTGGACGGGCTGCACGGGGTGGCAGGAGCATATGCAGAGAAGCTGTTTGTGCGTGAGCTGGGAGTGCCAGCCTCGTCCCTTGTCAACTGCGTGCCAAAGGTACGTCCTGCCTCTCGTTGATGCCAATGGAGTTAGGCACGCAGATAAGATCTCAGACTCCTGTCTCATAACTTTCATTCTACCTCTTCTTCCCTATGGCAGGAGGACTTTGGTGGTGGGCACCCCGACCCTAACCTGACCTACGCGCATGACCTGGTGGAGGCCATGGGGCTGGGCAAGCACCAGCCCGCCCAGGAGCCGCCTGAGTTTGGTGCTGCCTGTGATGGCGATGCTGATCGCAACATGGTTCTGGGCAAGAGGTGTGTAAGAGCGTGGTGGTTGGGGTCTGTGCAATTGGGTTGTGAGGGTCAGGCGGCGGTCTGGCTTCAAGGCTGCTCCATTGCCTGGGAGACGTCTCAGTACTGGCCTCCTTGCGTTCCTCTATTACTCTCCCCCTGACAGGTTCTTTGTGACGCCGTCTGACTCGGTGGCCATCATAGCAGCCAACGCCATGGCCAGCATCCCCTACTTCAAGAGCGGGCTCAAAAATGGTCCATTCCTTGGGACACCTCTCAGTACCGTCATTGTTGCTTTCGCCACTCCCCTGCCCTGCCCTGCCCTGCCCTGCCCTTGACAGGTTCTTTGTGACACCGTCTGACTCGGTGGCCACCGTAGCAGCCAACGCAGTGGACAGCATCCCCTACTTCAAAAGCTGACGTGCGCATTGCTGGTGCATTGCCTGGAGACATCTCACACGTCCATGTCTATCCCCCCTTTTATGCTTCCCTGATTCACCTTTAACAGGTTCTTTGTGACGCCGTCTGACTCGGTGGCCATCATAGCAGCCAACGCAGTTGCCAGCATCCCCTACTTCAAGGACGGGCTCAAGGGCGTGGCCAGGAGCATGCCCACGTCCGCTGCTCTCGATGTCGTGGCTAAGGAGCTCGGACTCAAGTTCTTTGAGGTAGGTTATTTATTCCACTCGTCGCCTCTGCACTCCTCTCCATCCCTCTGTAAGTCTGCTCGTCTACTTCAAGGGCGGGCTCAAGGGCGTGGCCAGGAGCATTCCCACCTCCGCTGCTCTGGATGTTGTCGCAAAGGAACTCGGTCTCAAGTTCTTCGAGGTAGGGATGTGCTCTTTTCCCCACTCCTCTCCTCTGCACTTGGCTCCCTTGCGCTGTACGTTCCTCGTGTGCTTCGAAGGGTGGGCTCAAGGGCGTTGCCAGGAGCATGCCCACCTCTGCTGCGCTTGATGTTGTGGCCAAGGAGCTCGGACTCAAGTTCTTTATGGTAGGAATCCCTCTGCACTCCTCTCCATTGCACTCCTCGCCAAGGCAATCCTCTCCATTGCTCTGTTCGCCTCGTGCACTTCAAGGGCTGCATCCGGGCGTCGCCAGAAGCATGCCCACATTAGCTGCTCTCGATGGCGCGGCCAGGGGCTGGAATCCAAATTTGTTGAGGGCCGTTTGTGAACCTGCCTGTTTGTTTCTGTGCTTGCAGGTGCCAACAGGGTGGAAGTTCTTCGGCAACCTCATGGCTGTGGGCATGTGCTCTCTCTGCGTTGAAGAGAGCTTGGAGTCAGCAGACTAGACACCCCTCTTCAATTAGCGGACTCAATGCCCTATTCCTGATTTTTTTTGCTGTGGTTTATTCGTTTGCTCTTGTGTTCACAGGTGCCGACGGGGTGGAAGTTCTTCGTCAACCTCATGGACGCGGGCATGTGCTCTGTCTGCGGTGAAGAGATCTCAGAGTTAGCAGACTTGGCACTTCTCCTGATTCTGTCTCCTGTGGTTTATATGCTGCTGTTGTGTTTACAGGTGCCGACCGGGTGGAAGTTCTTCGGCAACCTCATGGACGCGGGCATGTGCTCTATCTGCGGTGAAGAGAGCTTCGGGACAGGTGAGGCTCGGTTCGGAATGTGTGAGGTTCGGCACTGGTGAGGTTCGGGACTCATGAGGTTTGATCCTGGAATTGTGAGTAGCAGCAGCAGCAGTAAAGGGCAGCTGGATTTGGTTTGTCTCCTCTTTCCCTCTCACTGCTGTGCTTTTATTAGCTTTTTTCTGCACGCTTTTACCCTGCACTGCACTCCCAGGGTCGGACCACATCAGAGAGAAGGACAGCATGTGGGCGATCCTAGCGTGGCTCTCTATTTTGGCCAACCGGAACAGCAGCAGTGAGGGGTAGCTGATGACTTGAGCCTGTTTAACCCCTACTGTGCACTTCCTTCCTTTGTTGTATATTGCACTGCTTTGCTCTGCCAGGGTCGGACCACATCAGGGAGAAAGACGGCATGTGGGCGATCCTTGCGTGACTCTCTATCCTGGCCAACCGGACGGAACGTCAGCAGCAGTGAAGGGCAGCTGGTGTTTGATTAGTCCCCTCCTTCCCTCTCACTGTGAACCTCTCATAAACCCCACTGTGCTGTACTTTGCTCTGTTTTGCATTCTATTTCCCGGCACTCCCAGGGTCGGATCACATCAGAGAGAAGGACGGCATGTGGGCGATCCTTGCGTGGCTCTCTATTTTGGCCAACCGTAACAGTGGCAGCCGTGAGGGGTGGCTTGATTGGTCTCACTTTGAACCTCTTGTAAACCCTTCTATCCTTCGGTTTGTTCTCCCAGGGTCAGATCACATCAGGGAGAAGGACAGCATGTGGGCTATCCTTGCATGGCTCTCTATCCTGGCCAACCGGAACAGCAGCAGCAGTGATGGGCAGCTGATGTTGATTCATATCCCCCTTCCCTCTGTGAAACACCCCCCTGTGCTGTGCACTGGTTTGCTGTACGTTGCTTTGTGCATTCCCAGGGTCGGACCACATTAGAGAGAAGGACGGTATGTGGGCGATCCTTGCGTGGCTCTCTATTTTAGCCAACCGGAACAGCGGCAGCAGTGAGGGGCAGCTGGTGACTGTGGAGGAGATCGTGAGGCAGCACTGGGCCAAGTACGGCCGGCACTTCTACACCCGATATGACTATGAGGTGAGATGCGGTGAGAGGCGGTTATATGCGGTGAGAGGAGGTTAGATGCGGTGAGGTGCAGTGGGAGGCAGTGAGGGGCAGCTGGTGACTGTGGAGGAGATTGTGAGGCACCACTGGGCCAAGTACGGCCGGCACTGTTACACCCGATATGACTACGAGGTGAGATGCGGTGAGAGGCAGTTAGATGCGGTGAGGTGCAGTGGGAGGCAGTGAGAGGCAGCTGGTGATTGTGGAGGAGATTGTGCGACAGCAATGGCCCAAATATGGTCGGCACTTTTACACTTGATACGACTAGGAGGTGAGATGTGGTGAGACGCGGTTAAATGTGGTGAGGAGGGGTGAGAGGCTGGTGTTGTTCATCTGTATCATATCATTTCGCTCTTGTTATCTCACTCGTTTTATGTCATGATGGCAGGGAGTGGATGCAGAGGGTGCAAAGAAGCTCATGGCTCACCTCGTCGCCAGCCAAGCAGACATCTCTGCCCTCAACACGTGCGTTCTTAGCTCGCCAGCTCACTGTCTCAATTCCCTGTAACCATAATCCCTTCCGATGAGAGAAGCTCATGGCTCATCTCATCGCCAGCCCAGCAGACATCTCCTCTCTCAACACGTGCGTTCCCAGCTCGTCAGCTCGCAGTCATACTACCCAATACCTACGTAGGCTGGATATAAGAGAAGCTCTTTCCTTATCTCGTCCCCTGTCTTACCTCCCATTTGCATGCTTTTCCTAGCTCAGTAGCCCGTGGTAACCTCCCCTAGGGACAGCAGCAGCAGAGGCGGTGAGGGGCAGATAAATTGAAGTACAAGGATCCATTGGTTTCTTTATCTTCCTTACCATACTAGCCTGTATCCACCTCATTTTCAACCCACTATTCCAGGGCTGTGAAGGCAGCCAACAGCACGGCAGCGGACGTGGTGAGGGGAGACGAGTTTGAATACAAGGACCCCGTGGATGGCTCCGTGTCCAGCCACCAGGGCATTCGGTTCTTATTTGCTGATGGCTCCAGACTGGTAAGGTTTCTTCGTTCCACTGAAACCACCGTGAGTGAACTTATACGAGATGTGTGGATGGCTCGGTGTCCAGCCACCAGGGCATCCGGTTCTCCTTTGCTGATGGCTCCAGACTGGTATGTTTTTCCTACCATTGGTGACACCATGAGTGATGTCAAATGACGATTGAGGCACCAGTCTCGGTGAGGGATGGGGGCTATGGAGTTCACTTGTGAACAGCTCTGTGTCCAACCATCAGGATTGGTGGCAGTAAACTCTTCTTTATATATATATGTAAATATTTTTTCCCCATTTCCATGACCCGTACCCCTGTCCGCTTCCGTTTGTTGGACACAGGTTCAGTGGTAGCGACCATTTGGGTGTACATTGATCAATACATGGCCTGAAGCTCCAAGGCTGATGACTGGACTCAAAAATATATTTCTGTAATGTCTTGTTTCCCAATCATGAATACTTGCCTCCCCTGCCCTGCAGATCTTCCGTCTGTCGGGCACGGGGTCAGTGGGGGCGACTTTTCGCGTGTACATTGAGCAATACGTGGCAGATAGCTCCAAGATTGATGATAGGAGTGAAACATGTTCTCCCCCCCCCCCCCCCCGATGATCCATACCCCACACCACTGACGTCCAGATCTTCCGCCTGTCCGGAACGGGGTCAGTGGGGGCGACCATCCGAGTGTACATTGAGCAATACGTGGCAGATAGCTCCAAGATTGATGGCAACCCGGCTGATGTACTTGCTCCTCTGGTATGTACTGGTTGGTTGATATTTGTAAATTCCTCTGTTCCCTTTTTTGTTTGTCTGTTTGTTCCATTCTTTTTGGGTACACTATCCATCATATGGCTGAGCTCTAATAGGACAGCTGGGTTGACATGTGTGCCCTTTTGTGAACAGTCTTCAACATTTACTTTTTTAACATTTGTGTCTTGTGCTGTTGCTTTGTTTGCCCTTGCACTTTTTGCGGTATGTATCTCACCCCCTCTCCATCCATCCTTTCTTTTCCTTCTCCACATCAGGTTGATGTGGCTATCAAGGTCTCCAAGATCGAGGAATTTACTGGCCGTACTGCACCTACCGTTATCACCTAAAATCACACTTGACTACTCCATTCTCTGGATGTGGTTTGCACCTACCGTTGAACCCTAAATCCTGCACACCCTGATCATGGGTGCATTATATGAAGCATCCATTCAATCAACACGTGTTTTAAACGGGAGTACCTAGCAGAGTGTTTGGACGCGGATTTTATGTGTGCAACAAAACTAGTCTCTGAATGTGATGCTCACACGAGATTTCAGTTGAAACCTTTACTTGGAACATCTTGTTCAACTGCTTTGATATTCTTGTGCCTTGCAATATCGAACAGTATCGAGATTCGGATGTGCACTTAGCGCGCCCGGATTCACATCCTGGTGATGCCCAGCGGACAAGATTGAGGATCAGGGCTCAGTGTCAACAAACCGTACTGCAATCCCGATTTCCGTCTCTACAACTCACAAAAACGATTATAACCGCGTCCAGAAGGTGATAGATTCTGATCTCCCCCACTTACGTCGCGCCACAGCATGGTTCTCTTTATGCAAATGGCCGAAAGATAGTCTAGTCTGGCACAAAGTTAGCACACCGATACGCGTGGTACTGGTTGTACGAACACGCAGCTTGCAGCGCAGCGCTGTTGCCGCGTTTCCCCTGACGCGTCTGGTCCTTGCTTTGACTCACCTGAGCCACCCAGCCGTTGATTCGCGTAACACTCGCCCAATCCTTGGCTCTGATTCGGCAATTGCTTGGTGCTGATTCGACGGACTAGAATTGTACTACAATTGTTGCTCGAAAAAGTATTTCGTTACTTGTTGCTGGAGCCTCACTGTTATCGCAGTCCATGGATGTGCGGCCTGAACATCCGGCGGAGGAAGCGGCGAATTCGGGAACTACTAGCCGGCTGAGCACGTTCATGACGCCGTACTACGTAGTTAATCTCCTCGCCGTGCTCTCCGTTCTCCCCGTGCGGATCGCCGTCGTGTCCGGAGACTCATTCTCGAGAGACCTTGCGGTTCTCTACAAATGGGTATGTCTGGTGATTCGAATGGGTCCCTTTGGTTACTCAGATAGGGCAAATTTTCTGTTTACGAATGCTGACAACATCCTTTTCTCTCCCTTTCCACCACTCTAAACACTCACAGCCGTAAATCCGATTTCCTAATTCGTTTCTCCCCCAAAATGGTCCAATCGTGGCAGGAGCGGCATGTTCTCTTCGGCCTTCTCCTCAGCGCGACTTACAAGGTGTGCTATCAGCTGTACCGCCTATAGTGTGCAGCACCACTGCGTCTCTTAAGGTGTTTAGAACGTTGAATCTTTGCTTGTTATGTAGTATAGCGTCTTATAAGGTGTGCAATGAGTGCGTCATACAGGGTGAGGTATAAGCTGTACCGCTAATAAGAAGCACCACTGCGTCTCAGACGGTGTTTCAAACGTTGATTTAGTCTGGAAGGTGCACTTTCAGCAGCTGCATCACCTCATCTAAACTAAGGGTACATTCGGGGCTCTGGTCAGAACCTCTGGTCAAACCTCTGGTCAACCGAAAACATGCCTATTTCTTACCAATTGTGCTAATTGTAAGGTTGGCTACAGTGTTGACCAGAGGTTTGCCCAGAGGTTAGACCAGTGCCCCGAATGTACCCTAAGAATGCACTTGTTTGCTGCTTATGGCATGCTTTACTCTGTATGATATGGCATGCAATGGCATGGCGTGGTACGGTATGCCATGAATGGCATGACATTGCCATGTGATGTGAGCGCAGTTATGGCGAGCCAACACAGCTGAAGCAGCGTTTTCTTCCATCATGTTCAACACCAAGGCACGTCTCTCGCTGCCTTCCCGTCTCGCCTTCCCGTCTTGCCTTTCCTTATGGGCTGTCTCGAAAGTCCTTTGTTTCCATGTTTCCATCATGTTCAACACCAAGGCACGTCTCTCTTTGTCTTCCCTTCTTCCCTTCTCTCCTCGCCTTCCCTTCTGGGGTGTCTCGTAAGCCCATACTCTTCCATTATCTTCAATCAACACCAAGGCACGTCTTTCCTCCACCTCTTCTGTGCCTTCCCTGCCGCCCAGAGCTAAAGCAAGCAAGTGCGTGTTTTCTTGCCGTGCCTTCCTTGACTACTCCGGAAATGCCTGTTTCCTCTTGCTCCGAGGATCACAAGCATATCCCTTGTTTTTTTTTTTAATATATATATATATATGTATATATATTTTTTCTGATCTAGAATATACCTGTTTCCCCGCCATGCTGCAGATGATTCTCATCGCTCTCTTGTGGGCTGTGGATCCCCGCATATGTGTCTGGTACCTCCTTGCATTCATGTGTGAGTGTGCAAACACCATCCGTCCATGTGTGACATGACTTATATAATCACTTTCCTGTGGGCTATGGATCCCTGCAATTGTGCCTGGTACCTCCTTGTGTTCATGCGTGAGTGTGCAAACACAATGATTTCAGAGTCAATTTGAGGTTCTTGAAACACATGAAACACAGTTCCCACCATTCTCACTTTCCTGTCTCCTTTTCCATCCACATTCCTTCTTTCCTCTGCCTTCCCTCCGTATTCTCTCGCGCACTATGCAATACCCTTATCTTCACATTTCATCCACACCTCCGCTGCCTGTCTTTTTTTTTTTTTCATTCACCTGTGTGTGCAGTGATCTTTCTCCTTTGCCCCCAACGGTCACCAGCAACCCCATCAGGTCAGTCCACGGAGAAATGCACACAAGCACGGACACACGCACGTCGCGCACGCACGCGCGCACACACAGAGGCACTTTCCCCTCACCCACACACACACGCACGCACGCACGCACGCACGCACACACGCACGCACTCATACACGCACGCGCGCGTGCGCGCGCACACACACACACACCCACCCCGAGCATGGGTGCACCCACGCGCCCACAGACACTGGAACAAACACAGTCACAGACGCACTCACAATTTCTCATGCTCTTACTGACCCCTCTTCAACCCCCTCCTTCTGTGCCACGTCAGCATCGGACGCCTTTCTTGAGCTGATCCCGCGCCAGCTGGAGCTAGTAGCGCCAGTGGAAAGTGCCACGCCAGCATCCAACGTACCGTGCCTGGTCATGTTCTATGCCAGTTGGTCCCCCCCGTGCCATCAGCATATGTCTCTCTTTGTTGACATCGCCAACCAGTAAGCCCCTTTGCCCCCTCAACCCCTCCTATCCTCGCCCAAGAGAAAGTTTCCCTGGACTTTCTCTTGAGTCGGACTATTTGTTTCCAAACTAGTTTCCATCTAGTTCCTTTTTTGTTGCTTCCCAACGCTCTTCAAAGCCTTTCATATAGAAAAAATGTATATCCCCCTCCAACAACCCCCCATCCCCGCCCCCCCACCTCCCCCGCCTCCCCCCCGCCCCCCTCCAAAAAAGGTTATATATATATATATAAAAGAACTGATTATTGCGGCTTGCTTTGCCCTTCCTTCCCTGTTCCTCCAAGGTACGGCCAAGGGCCCCACATTCACTTTGGCCGGTTGGACGTCTCTCGATTCCCCCAAGTGGCCGAGCGATTCTCCATTGATACTGGCAGTGAGTGCTTCAACTCTCTTGTGTTCCTGATTCCAGCCTCCCTTCGTAAGGATTCCTTTTTTTTGCCGATTGGAAATGTCTCTCGTTTCCCTGACGTGGCCGAGCGATTCTCCATTGGTACTGGCAGTGAGTTCTCCCTCTTGCATGCTCGACTTGAGGCTCCTTCCATATTATCCTTTTCCAAGGATTCTTTTTTTCTCTTTGTCAGTTGGGCGTGTCTCTTGATTACCTGACCTGACTTTTGAGTCGACTCAAAAGTCGACTTGAGGCTCCTTCCATTATCCTTTTTGCATGATTCTTTCACTTTGTCAGTTGGGCTTGTCTCTCGATTACCTGACGTTGCTGGGAGGGAGGTTCTCCTGTTCTCTTGCATCGCCTGCATTGATACTGGCAGTTTGTGCCTTCTGACTGCACCTTAACATCACTGATGCACTCACAAGCTTAGGCCTGTCGACTCATGGTATCCTGAACCTTATGAAGAAAAACCCAGGTTTTTCCTCCCTCCTTCCCCCCCTCCCTCCCTTCCTCTCTCCCCCCATCCCTCCCTCCTTCCCTCCCTCCCTCCCTCCCTTCCTCTCTCCCACCTCGTCCCTCCCTCCTTCCCTCCCTTCCTTCCAGTGTTCTCCTCTCAGCTTCCAACCCTCATTCTCTTCCACAATGGCACCGAAGTCAACCGCCTTCTACCGCCCACCACCTCCAGCACCAGCAGCAACAGGTTCATCCCTCGAGCCACACCTTTCTTTTCCCCATCTTCCCTGGCGCCTGGGCTCTACACCCCGCCTCGGCTCACGAGAAGCATGGTAGTGGGCGCGTTTCAGCTGGACCTATGGCGGATGAAGGGGGCTTTAACGGTGTCCAAGGCAGTGCAACAGCAAAAGGGGAGGAAGGAGGGTCAGGCTCAGGGAGAGAAGCAGGGGGAGAAGCAGCAGGGGCAGGGCCAGCAGGAGGAGAAGAAAGAGCGGTAGTCAGATCTTCGAGTGGGCGGAGTGAGCAGCGGGGCAGCAGGGGACAGCTCTCCCTCACGAGAAGCATGATAGTGGGTGCGTTTCAGCTGGACTTGTGGAGGATGAAGGGTGATTTAGCGGTGTCCAAGGCAGTGCAGCAGCAGAAGGGGAGGAAGGAGGGCCAGGCACAGGGGCAGCAATAAGGGAAGAAGCAGCAGGAGCGGGAGCAGCAGGAGGAGAAGGAAGAGGGGTAGCCAAATTTCTGAGTGGTCAGAGTATTGGCCTTGCAAGAGGGAGGCAGTGTGGTAGCAGAAGGGGAGGACGGAGTCTCAGGTACACGCGCAGCAGTTGGGCGAGAATCAGCAGGAGGAGCAAGAACAGGAGGAACATATTTGTATGTTTAACTTTTTAATTTGCCTCAATAGATGTGAGTTGGGTCCAACCAAAAGCCCACTTCCCCAAACCTGCCTCCGAAAATATGAGTGGGGTCAGAGGAAAGGTGTAGTTGGAGAAGAAATAGGAGCCATAAGCTAGCATAATGTGTCGGCGAATGTAAATATAGATATAAGAAAACATTGTTGCAGATTGGTATTCCTGCTTTTAGCTTTACAAACTTGCGCATTCTATTTCACATCCCGCAGTTCTCATAATTCTCTAATTAGTACAGAAATTGTTTTAGTTTCCAATTTGTAGTTATACATCAACTTCAGGACATTATTTTTGGAACACCAAAACACCGAACACCCGCATACGGAACGCGAACAACGGACAGACCCTCCTCCTCAGTCCGCGGCGGCTGCAGCAATGGCGGACCCGCCGCCGCGTACCGCGCGACGCCTGGACGTAGATTTCATAGCTGCTGCTACTACACGTCAACCGCCACACGCGGACGGGTCTGCAGCGCAAGCGGCGGCGCAAGATGCGGAGATAGGGGAAGCCACGATGGTGGTTTCAGCTGCGCCCGTTGCTCCCGCGGATGGGGTGTCCGCGGCGGTGCGTAACGCGGAGATCCGGCGGGGAATCGCGGCGATCAAGGCGGAGAGCCAGCGCCAGCGGACAGCTGTCGTTCAGGTGCGAGAGAGATTCTCATGGTGAGAGTTGGTGAGGGATGCTGAGGGTTTGTGAGGGTTGGTGAGGGTTGGTGAGGGTTGCTGAGGGTTGATGGGCGTTGGAGAGCTGCAGTACGGAACGCACGGAGAGCCAGCGCCAGCGGACAGCTGTCGTTCAGTTGTGTGTCCTTCTCCTTGTTTTTCTTGCGTGCGTTCTATCTTATATTATCCAAGCCGAGTCATTCTTGTCTTTCCTCCCCCCAGGATCTTCTGGCAGAGAATCGGAAAAAACTGCTGGCTATCAAAGCAAAACAAACGGCAGCTGCTAGTGCTGCTCCTGGGGGTGTTCCCTGGCCCAGCCAGCACGATTTTAAGCAGCACCAGGCAAACGGAGAGGCTTCCTCGAGTGCAGCTAGACGCGCAGGCTTGGGAGCAGGTTCGAGTATGGCAGGTTCGGGTTTGGCGGTCCTAGGAGTAGCTGGTTCAGGCATGGCAGGTCCGGGGGCGGGAGGTTGGGGTGCGATTTCAGCAGTACTGAAAGCGCATGGGGGAACGAGCAGGGGGAGAAAGAGCATGGGGCGCAGTGGCAGCAGGAGCAGCAGCAGGGGGTTGGCAGGGGGGATGGCAGGGGGGATGGCAGGGGGATGGCAGGGGGGATGGCAGGGGGGATGGCATGGCAGGGGGGATGGCAGGGGGGATGGCAGGGGGATGGCAGGGGGGATGGCAGGGGGGATGGCAGGGGGGATGGCAGGGGGGATGGCAGGGGGGATGGCAGGGGGGGGGGATGGCAGGGGGGATGGCAGGGGGGATGGCAGGGGGGATGCAGGGGGGATGGCAGGGGGGATGGCAGGGGGATGGCAGGGGGGATGGCAGGGGGG